TAGCTGTCTGTGTTTGAAGTGTTCTGTAAAGTGCTTCCCTTTCACAGTCCTTGTGAGACAGTATATCTTAACTTCAGAATATGTAGCAGAAGATTGAACTACATCACTGGAAATGTGAAAGGGAATTACTGTTGTGTTGCTTTCTATTCTGCTACTGTGGCTTCTTTACATTTCRTTAAAATTCTGTCTTTTATTAGAAGCACCGGCTCTAATTTCCTGATTCTCCCTTTTGTAAATCGAGGCTGTTGTGTAGCAGGGCCGGCTCATCCTTCTAACCACAAACTGTGATACCCCTAGTAACACCCCGAGCATCCCTGCCTCTTCCTGCTGCCAGTCCACGTCTGGTTATGAAGCCAGAAAGGGCCCTTAAGCGGGTGGCTTCCCGCAGCAGCCGGGCAGGGCGAGTGGCACCGGCGGCTGGCGGAGCCACCGGAGCCCAGGCTGAGCACGGAGCCTCGGGGCTCACGTGGGGCACTAGCCCTTCCTGCCCCTTCCTGCTCCCTGTGGCTGCTCCGTCCCCTGAAGACCTCCTTGCTGGTTAGATGTCTTTTGATAGTACCTGGCATAATACCGCGTATGGTGCCCTAGTAAGTCCTTCCTCCCTCCCGCTGCTGTTCTGGCAGCCAGTGTCCGACGTGGGGTTGTCCCTGCTCTTCCCTTTCTCGCCCGCTGGCRGGGAAGCGCTGCTGGGTGTCGGGTTGGGGCCCTTGTGTCCCACAATGGGTGACTGTGCCCTGGGCTGTGCTCCGTCCCTTGCAGGAGCTGCCCTGCYTCACTGCGCTGCTCTGCCGGCTCCCAGCGCTCCCTTGTGTCTGCCTGCCTTCATTCCCTCACTCCTTCGTTCCTGTCTTCCGCTCCTCCTGAGTTCATTTCCAACCTGAATGATTCCCGCTTCATGGGCGTGTGCTCTTGACTTGTTTCTTTCTTTCACTTTGAAAAAAAAAAAAGTTTGGCCATTCTCTTTCATAATTCCTATGTGAAAGCTGGGACAGCAAACACAGTTTTCTATTAAAAGATAATGCAGTAGGAGCTTGAACTTGGGTCTCCAGTGTGTAAGTACAGGAGCGTTTGGCAGAGGAAGGGTCTGGATTTCCATCTCGGCCTGCGTGGCTGTAGGTGCTGAGGCTGGAGCCCAGCTGGGCTCCTCCTCACTCGTGTTCCGCGYTGTGGCCAAGGTTGTCCTTGGGGCCTGGATGTCCTTGAGTGCTCCTGAATGGAGTGAAGCAAGTGGAAGAATTCCTGTGGCGTGTGAGCCAAGCTGAGCTTTGCCTATTCACACAATCCCAGAATGGTTGAGGTTGGAAGGGACCTCTAGAGATCATGTAGTCCAACCCCCTGCTCCAGCAGGGACACCCAGAGCACGGGGCACAGGGCGGCAGCCAGGCGGGTTTGGAAGATCTCCAGAGAAGGAGACTCCACAGCCTCCCTGTTGCAACATGATGTGTTTGGGCACAGGAGGACAGTGCCTAGGAATATCCTGGAGCTAGGCGCATCCAAAGGGTGCATAGTTGAGCCCTACTTCAAGGGTTTTGTCTTTGGTAGAGTTTGTATATGTTGCTATTTGGCTTGGGGCTTTGGTGTTTGAAAGCCCACCTTATCTTTGGATTTTGAGCTTTTTTGTTAATAAAGTTTTAAAGTATCTTTAGTTGTCTATGTTCTCTTCTAAACCTTTTCCCATGTAAGTAGGTTTTACAGGGGGTAGAACTGAAGAGACTTTGGTGTGAAAACAGAGCKAATCTCAGCTGCATTGATCGTATAATTAACAGCGAAGGCTCTTGCGTATAGTGACTACAGGTAGAAAGAGAGGAAAATTTGGACATACAGATTCAGCTAAAAGTTATTTTTTGGTGCTTTCTAGAAACAAAATACTCTGCAAAGACATCGAATCCAGTATTGCTGTTAGCATATCCTACTGCTCCAATATATTTTTTTTCCAAGAAAATTCTTGGAGTTACAGTGAGTTTAAAAGTGGGATTTATCCAGGCTAACTCCGGTCTCTCAGACCGGAGCCGTAAGTTGCCGCGGATTCGTGGTGGCTCCTGCACGGACCCTCAGCCCCTGCCAGGGCAGGTTTTGCCCTCCTGCCGTGAGACATTTGCCTTTCGGTGGCAGCAGGTGAGCTCAATCCTCATGCTGTAGGAGGCTGAGGCTCTTTCCCAATGGGTCTTGTCCTATGGGGACTCTCCTACCCCTGGGGACTCTCCTACCCCTGTTACTGCCTCATTTTGCTTACTGGATCACGATACAGATGCACACACACCTATACACACCCAATACCTCCTCTCTTAGGAGCCTGGTCTCTCCCCAGACAACTTCTGTCCCGGGGCAAGGAAGGAGGAGGAAAGGAAAGTGCTGGGTTTTTGTTTTGTTTTGGCTCAAACAGGGGCTTTCTAAATGTGACAGAGGACTTTGTATCCCCTGGTTGTTTGCTTTATAAAGGGAAGGAGAAGCAAAGATGACTGCAGTAGGTTGGATTAGAAACTCAGAGACTCACTGCACGATACAGGTAGTTGCTCAGCAAGAGGAAATGGCTCCTCAGAGCAGAGGCCAGGGGTTTCTCCCGGAGTTGGGGAGACCGTGGGGGGGAAGAGGGGACTCCAAGCACTGCTGGGAAGAAGGGCTTGATTGCTCTAGAGCGTGGCAGCCTCCCAGCTTTCCRGAGCCCCTTGGCTTTGATTTGTACTTCCATGCTTTGCAGCTCCTGCTTTGGTTTTGCATGCATTCTTTCGTGGATAATGGCTCTTCAGAATTTATTGATAAAGCTGGTTGCGGATATATGTTTATGTACATGTCTCTGTGTGTGTGCATATTTTTATATATATGTGCATTTTATATATATAATGTGTATGTATGTGTATATATGTGTGTGTATATATGTACATATATGTGTAGAAAAATGCTGAATTTCTAACTAATAATCAGGATGACAATTATGAATTAAAATGAAAAGATAAATATATGGGGGGCAACAGCCAAAGTGCAGCTGCTTCAGAAAGGGCACACTGAAACAAAGTAATTCAGTGGATTAATATAATGAAGTTAAGAGAGGAGTTTGGAAGGGTTAAGAATATTTGAGCTACGTTGTTTGCTGTCAAAGAATGGAGTAAGGAGTGGAATAAGGAGAAGATTTTCTTTTTTTCGTTAAAAAAAGAACTGTGGTGAAAGAKGACACACGAGAATAAACTGAAGATTCAAACTAATGGGGAGTAGGGCAGTAATCATATTAAGTGTATTGAAGGAGTTTGCTGCTAATGTTCAGAAATGTTTGTCTGGTTAAAACTGGTTAGGAAGCTTGGTTGCAGTAAATGCTACTTTGTGTCCTCAAAAGTTGTGGGGCGTCATCTGAATGCCTGCCTTGCTGTCCTCTGGGGCTCGTAGCCATGGGATACTGTATCCAAAACCAGAGTAGATTTCAAAATGCTTGGGCTTTTGGATGGATAACTCTTATCTACATAGGGGAAAGAGATACAAAGCTGGGTGACAGGCTCGCTGCCTTGYTTCATAGTCACCAAGTGGCTCAAATTAAACGTAATTGCTAATGAATTGAATGCAATGGAGACAAATTAGTAATGTTTGTGAGAAGGGAAGCTAAGCTGACAGGGCTGTGCAGATAAATGATGAATAAGGAAATGACTGTCTCCTAGATTTCTTAAAATCTTTGAAAGAAAGGTATTTATTTTCAATATGCCAAAACTTAAGTCTGCGTTTAATTCAAGATTCCCACCTTGCACTGCAGTAGATATACTTATTCATAAATCCAAATAATGTAGCYGTGACTGAATGGTGTGAGTTGTGTAAAACCTGCTGCTGGTTCAGAATTAAGTTACTGAATATAAAAGATGACTTGGAAATGACAGAATCCCAGAATAGCTGAGGTTGGAGGCGACCTCTAGAGATCGTGTAGTCCAACCCCCTGCTCCAGCAGGGACACCCAGAGCACGGGGCACAGGGCAGCATCCAGGCGGGTCTGGAAAATCTCCGGAGAAGGAGACTCCACAGCCTCCCTGGGCAGCCTGTGCCAGGGCTCTGGCACCCTCACAGGGAAGAAGTTCCTCCTCACAGGAAAGAAGAGGATGTGTATGTTATATCCCACAATAAATGATTTAAAGGAGAAAAGGTGGTCGACGTTGCTCTTGTCCACAGTGCAAGAACAGAGGTGTATTCAGTACTCTGAAGATGAATTAAACCTCGTGGTAGCTGATCCGAGGAGTGTAATGGCTTTGGAAAATAATTCCGATTTTGGATGGATAGCATACTCTCTTATCATAGAAAAAAGAGATGATGCTCTCCAGTTTCAAAGATAGAAATTTGTAAGCATTGAAAAAGCTTGAATATCAGTTATATGTCGTTTTAAAAAAATAAATAAATAAATAAATAAATAAAAAATAACCCCCTGTGCATTAGTCACTGTTACTGTTCAGCTGCGAGAAAAACAAAAGCAAAGAGTCTGTTGACAGATTTTTGGGGTTTGTTTTGCGGGTGTAAAACCTCCAGCATCGTGTTGAAATGACATGTGCTGTGTGCTCCGGGTCCCAGGATGCTTGTGCATCAACACAGATGTCACATACAATAGAAAAGCAAATTTGTACTGTTGTTATTGGTAGATTTCTCCCATGGCAATTATTTGGATTTTGTCTTTTTTAACTGGGGGCATGTGTTTGCTGGATAGTACTTGCACTCGCATCGCTTGACTCCCACAGCAGGAAGAGTGAGACGGGTTCTTCTTGTGATGTGAATCAACGCCAAGGGGTCAGCTGTAGAAACACTCTTCACATTGAAGCAGGAAGAGAGCAATGCAGCTGTAAACCTACCAGATGATATAGAAATATCTTCTGTTACTCAGCAGTTTATAACAGATCTATTAATTTTATTTTGGAAAAAAAAAAAATATGACTAGGTTTGTTGTAGAGTTCTTCTTTGACAGGAAGAAAAGGGTAAATTTCTCCTGGACCTTCTGAGAGTTCAGTTAGCAAATGCCTTTCTTGTCTTATTTCTTGCAGGGTATTATAGAAAAATCGAAGATGAAAGGAATTCCAATCATTATTGATGCTGTAAGTACTTTTTTGGTTAGTTCAGTAATTTGTCGTTTAAGAATCTGTTGAGTAAATGTCTTTGTGGTTTTTGCAGGATGGACTGTGGCTCATTTCCCAGCAGCCTTCTCTCATTCAAGGCTACCAGAGAGCTATTCTTACTCCCAACTATATGGAGTTTAGCAGACTATATGAAGCMATGGTGAGCTGGTTTCCTTTTCAATGGTTAAAGAACGTGCAAAATTAATCTTGTAATGTTTAGTAATAAACTTCTTATTACTAAGCTAAATATTATGTGCCATCTGAGAGAAACGTTGTATAGGTTTTGATTCCATGAGATACTTGCCACCACAGCAGTGCACATTCTTAGASTGAGCTCTTTCAAAAAGACCCTTTCTTAAGCTTTTTTGGCATTTCAGAATGAGTGTAGTATAAAAAYAGCAGGAGAGTGATGGCAGTACTTTTGTTTTCACTCACAGAACTGGCACGTTATTTTACTGAGGCAGTAACACACGTTCTGTATTTGGAATTCTTGTGTCGTAGCTTAGAGACCCCGTGGACAGCAGTGACCATCATGGGTGTGTGTTAAGGCTCAGCCAAGCCATGGGGAATTTGACAGTGGTTCAAAAGGGAGAGCGGGATCTGATCTCAGATGGAGAGAAAGGTAAGTGAAGCCTCTGCTTGCGGCGGGGTGATGCTCTTGTGTGTTTGCTTCCTCTTGTTCAACGGTTGGACTATAAGTGGGCTGTGTAGTAGTGGTTGGTTGACTGTATTCCCCTGGAAATGGAAGGGCAGGGAAGGCTCTTTTTGCAGATATCCTTCAGGTGCTCTGTGTAAGGTGATATTTTAAAAGGACATTAAGTGTAACTTTATTTGATGGAAAAAAAAAGTGTTTATTTCTCCTTTAAATGGCTAAAATGTTTTTTTACATTACACTGAGGTACTGAGGGTGTGTGTGTGAACTTCTTAAAAATCCCTATCCAAGGGATAGTGCACAAGTGCACATAGTATTGCTCAATTAATACAGGATAACACTTGYATCAGCATATACTGGTGATCTGAAAATGGGAGATGTCTTGAGGCTCRTGGACTGCTTGATTCCTCGAGCATTGTCCATCACCATAGGGCTGTAGGTTAGCGTGTGCCTTACACATTAGTCCTGGCAACTTTTCTCTCTAATGTAGCTACAGATTGCCATCACCCTTTCCGAAAATGCTCCCTTGTGAGTGTGGGGAAATGGTCTTGAAGAACCCGGCCACGTCAGAGGCCAGCATCCCTCGCCTGATGAGCACAGCATGCATCCGAGCTGCCCTCCTCCCGCTTGCATACGTGCTCTGGTTTCCATAAGCAGCAGCTCTGCCCATAGTTGCTCACAGCACTCAGAGCTGCCAACCATGGATGCTGCTTCAGGATTGTTTTGTATACCCGTCAATTTTACATTACAGGGAGCCACGAGAGRCTTTTATATGTACTAGGAAAATACCTGCAGTAGGATAGCTAGTTTGTGCAGAGCCCTCTCAGTAGCAGGGATAGGAGGGAGCGGCACGGAGTTGGGATGCTCCGCCCGGAGAGCAGCCGGCCCTGCCGGGGCACCTGTTTCCAGCGCCCTCCTGCTGTTCCGAAGGAGAGTCGGGGAAAACTGGGGGAGGGCTTTGGGGGCAGCAGGTACCCTGGCAAAGCTGCTCCCCTCTCCCGAGAGCCCCTGTTGTTTTTGAGGTGAGTGCATCTCCAACGCCGGCTGGGAGGAGCCGACGCTCCCCTTCCTTGTCCCTTTGCACGCAGGACTCGACAACAGGGAGCAGCCCCAGCTCTTCGGTGTAGAAACCTGGGAGGGGTGGCACACGGTTGATACCGGTTCTATGGTGCTTTTCCAGCATTTTTTTTTTTCCCCTTGTCTTTTTCTCTGCCTCCGTTCCATTCTCATTTTGTTCCAGTTTAGTTAAGTAGCTGTTTGATTAGAAATATAAACAGTTCTGCACCTTCAGGCACTTGCGTGGTGTCCAGCCGGGGTTGCTTTCTTGTCTCTTGCATTGGTTCTGTCATTGGTGGTTTCGTTCTGTCCTGGATTGCAGATATTACAGGCAACGTTCTGGAGTCATAAAAGAGCAGTTGTTGGGTTTCATATGGGGTATAATGTCTGTTACAAATACTGATTTTAGGCTTTGTGGTGCTTGTAAGAAAAATAACTCCTCAGAAATTTGTAGAAATGAAAGGCTTCAGCCTCCTTTGGCAGAGACGTTCTTTGGGTCCCACAGGAGGCCGGTCCTGTTGCTCAATTTTTGGAATGCTCTTCAAATACAAGATTACAGTGAGAACGTAGATCCAGCTCTCCGCTTTGTGCTGCAGCGTCTTTCATGCCATTGACCTTGAAGAGTCTCACGGGTTTTTCGCTGTTAACTTCTGCTTCTTTCCATCTGTTTGTTCTTCCAATCTAATGCCCTTTGTTTTTCAGCTGAGACAACATCCGTGATGATTCCCGCGTGGGGGGAAGCCCAGATCGTGGGATCAGCCTGCTGTCCTCCGACACAAAATGAGGAGATGATCTGGGTCTTCCCATGTCCTTTTCTTTTGTATGTCCCCATCCTCTGCAGCGCTTTGCTCTGCATCCTCATCTTTTCTCAGGCATTTCTTGCTTGACCTCGTGTACTTACCACAGTAGTGCTGCRGATAACCGCACTGTTAAACCGTCTCCTTTAAGAATATAATGCCTGCATGATTCCKGAAAGTCGGAGTGCTCTGCAGCAGAAGGAGCTATTGCAAGTTTAAGGTTGTGTGCTTGGCTGTAGCAGAAGGGAGGCTTTTTTGAGGATGTGGAATCCTGTAGCAGGGAAAGTTGTGGCTTGGTTCCCTTGTAGTGGTTGTAGTGGTTATTTCCACAGCACTGACGTGCACATGACGGGGGGGAAACTCAGTGGAATTAGTGCAGGACCAGGAAGGCTATAAAGTGATGTGAGAGTGGCCTAAAAGTGCAAGTGTTGGTGGGTGATTCCTGTCAGCAGGGAGCTCTGGGATCTAAGCAGAATGGCACAGCAAACTCTCATTGGAAGCTTAAATTCAAATTCGAAGTAAGGCAGATGTTGTTTACAGCCAAAGAGACTGGCTACAAGAATAGTGTGACTCAAGCTTGCACAGACTCCCAGACTGCAAATCCTGTGAGGTTTGTTTCAGTAGGAGATCAGAGGAGATGAATGAAATCGTTCCTGGTGGCTCCACCGTCAGTGCAGCACGACCTGTGTGGCCTCTGGGAAACCACTAATAATGCTCTACTGCAAAGGAGGCTTTTCAAACATTTGTCTCAGTTTCAGATGTGAGCTGCCAACTGCCCTGTAAACATAACCAGAAGGATCTAAAATTAAGTTTTATATACCGTTTTTCTCTTTCCTTTTGCAATTTCACATTATAGCTTGGGCTACACTTGTTGATTCCCTGTTCTACAAAGATGAGCTTCACCATGTTCTTGGTAGGTGCTATCAGTGCCATCACTGACCAGGGTAGAAATGAGTACTCAGCCTGTGAGTAAAAGGTAAGTCAGCTTTTATTCGCTCTGACACAGCTCTCTAAGGTTTTCTTTCTGTCATTCTTTGGAGAACTGGTCAATAATAAAGTGTGGTTATACAAATCTGAGTTCCTAACATTTTTAAAATTTGGCTAGGTCCTTGAAGTGGGCTAACGTTTATGTGTTTTTTAGTTTGTTTTCTGTTAAAATTAGTGGGAAAAAAAAAATCCACCTAGCAGCTGTGTTGATGCTCTGCTCTCCCCTCCAAGAGGCAGTTTTGTGGGTGAGCAGCCAGCAKGTGCCTTCGGCTGCTTTTCCCTGGAGCCAAACAGAGCTTCTCTTCTGCAGCCCGGCTGCAGCTGTGGTCTAGGGGAGCAGAGGCGGGTGAGAGGGAATGGCTGCTGCTGAATGGGGGGGGAAAAACCTGCCCGTGGCCAGAAATCCCTCGGCTGTGCCTGTAATTCCAGCCTCTTGTCCCCTCTGGGAATGGGGAGGAAGCTGTTCCGTGTTCACCAGTGCTGCTGCCCCTGCTTGGGCTCCGCAGACGGAGCGCACGGGGCAGGTTGGGCTCCCGGCCCGGCCTTCCAGCTCTTTGGCATCGCTTCCCACCCCTGGGATGGGCTCCTGCACCTGCCCAAGAAAGGCAAAATGAGGCCTGGGTTCTTGCCTTTCAGCTTAAGTTGCCTCATGTCGCACACTCAAGGACCTATCTAAGTTTTAAAAGAGTAGTAAGAGAACACGACAGTATAAACACCCTTTATGTGAAAGCCAACTTACATTTTCCACATCAGTTGAGCGATTTTCCAACCCTCACGTTGGTTTTGTTGTCCCTTTGCCCTCAGGTTCATGTTTCTGGGAGTCCATAGTCTAGTTTTCTAGTCCATAGTCTAGTTTTTCAGCTGTCTAGTTTTCTGAACTGACTTGCAAAAGGAATAAGATAAATCTCTACTAGTATGAGCAGCTGCTAGGTCAGGGATGCATATCCATGCAGGATGGAGGTCAAGATCTGATAATGGTTGAACCTGAATCTTCATTTGAGGAAGCAAAATGGTCCTTGGCTGCAGTGCTGTTTTGCATAAAAGTTGTCATCTTCAGCCTTTTAATTAAGATAATTTGCAGTGCTGAGGCATGRCTGGCATCCACTCTAGCTGGATGCTGTCAGAGCCGGGGTGGCTGCARGTGTCGTGCAGGGCTCCCTGAGCACCAGGGCGCTGGGTGGGGGCCCTTAGTGCTGCGTTGTGGCTGCGGGGAACCCAGTACAGAGAGCCTGAGCAGGACGCCCCAGGGTCAGGTGTAAAGGCCTCATCTTCTGGCAGACCTTTGTTATTTACAGCCTGGATACAAGTGATGTTTCCTTCAGCAATGTTTTCCTTCTTTGTCATCAGCAGCATTAAGTGTTTGGTCTTACCCATGTTTCACAYTTTATATGACCTAAATAGAAACATCCAAAATTGATCTACTTTRTTTACTATTATGGATGTTGCTAATCAAGAACACGTGGACATCTSTTCTTTTCTGCAGGACATGGGCATTTGGTTTTCTGACTGTAATACCTGTTCAGAAGCCAGCTTAAAGAGAAGCCAGCAAGTTCAGTTATGGACAAGCTGTTTTTATATTTAAGCATAAAAGAGCTGTGTGCCCTTCTCGTGGGTTTCCATCTGCCAGCCCAGTTCAGATGGGGCTCTTCTTTATTTTAACCCTTGTTGGAAGTGGCACCAAAGCAGGATGCTGTGCTCTGCGTGCTCCCCTGGGTGCTCGTGCTGCCTCCAAGGCAAAGGGAGCGGAGACCTCCTGTTCTGTGGCCTGAAATGTGCTGGGCAGAGAGCAGCTGAAGCCTTGTTCACAGTTCCTCGGGAAGCCGGGGCAGAGCGTGGGCTCCGTAGTGGGTTATAACCTAAACTTCTTCAGTTTCTGCCATGCAGAAGCAGCCTCTCGTTTTGTTCCTGTTCTGTTTCTGTTTCACTCATACTTTAGTGTGGATTGGAGGAATGAACTTGGGTGACCAGGAMGGGCGCGTGGCTCTGGCCGTGCCTGGGCAGTCCTCTCCCGAGTGGGATGTTCCTACCCGAGCCAGCCGGTTCGTGCAGGTGTCGCGGCCGGCTGCTCACGAGCCCTGTTTCCAGGTTTTGTTCGGCTTCTTTGCTTTCCTTCCAGTAAAAGTCTGTCTGATGGTTACTACTTGGTTATTTTTTCCGCTCATCTCCTGGTGAAGCAGTGACATTCGATTGCCAGGAGCCACTGAGGCCAAACGCAAACGGTGCGGCCCCGGGCGCTGCCCGGCCTCTCCATCCCGGTCTGCCAGGGGGAGCAGGTTGAAGCTTCCTCCCTTGCGGCAGGGTTTGGTGCCAGGCTGCTGGCCCAGCTGGTTCTGGTTGCTCCCTTTCCGTGTGGGCACATTTCAGTCTTAGCTCTTGCCCTGTTGCTCCGGCCGCGGCCGCCTCCATCTCCGTGGCTCTTCCAGAGTTTGAAGAGACAAATTTTCGAGGCCTTTTGACTGAAGCAAGTTCAGCACTGGTTGAACGTGGCATTACCTTGCTGAGCAGTGGACGGAGAAGTACTTGATCCTCGTGTAAATCCGTCATTCTCCTCCCTCCCAGGGGAAAGGACTCTGTCTTTCTGGCATCGTCGCTGACTGTTGAGTCACCTCTGGCTGATAGAGAGTCTTGAAGAGGCCGCAGAGCAGCCCCGGAGGAGCGGACCGGCCCGGCCCCTGCGCAGCATCGGGCTGGCGGGCAGGGCGAGGGAGCAGCTGGGCCTCATTGTCCTGGGAAAAGCCCCGTGGAGTCTCATTGTCCTGGGAAAAGCACCATGGAGTCTTTGTCCTTGGGGGATCGGGCCACTTGCCGCTTTGCTCGGTGGCTGCAAGGAATCGCTCTTTCATCCTGAAGGCCCCGGAACAGCGGCTGTTGTTCCGAGAAGGCCTCGCTGCTGTCACGCCGCCTGTTGCCGTGTCCATCATCCCTTTAATGGAGAGGGTCTTGGAGRGCCTGAGCCCCGTGCGGAATCCCCCGGCATTTTACCTGTCCCCTCCTTCCAGGGATTTCTTTGTGATTCTGCTGCTTGGGCTCCGTGTTKAGCATCTCCATGCAGGGAACAGGGACCTGCCCTCGTGGCAGCTCCTCACGTGGCCTTGCCCACGTTGGGGACTTGCTGCAACACACGCGCGCAAACAAGAGAGCTCTTCTCTGCAGCAGGGTGTTGTGGTGGGCCTGGTTTGAGGAGCTTTCCTCCTGCCAGGAGTGCAGGACCTCGGAGCAAAAATCCCGGGAGATGCCGTCTTCAAAGGAGCAGAATGAGAGGCAATTTCTCCAGTGTACTTACTAAAAAAAAAAAAAAAAAAAAAAAAAAAAAAAGAAAAGCCATATCGTTTTCAAACAGCTGAGTGGGAAAAGCCCCGCGTGTTGCACTGGGAGCCGCCTCTGGAATCTTCAGTGGGAGGTGGCGGCGGGGAGGGTGGAAGTTTGTGCCAGGGTGGTGCCGGTGCCCGGGGATCCTTGTGGTGCCCAGGGATCCTGGCGCTCCCGGGGCCAGCAGGGAGGCCGGAGTGGAGGCAGAGGCCGGCGGAGGCTGCAGCGGCCTCGGCAGGAYGAGGAGAGGCCTGTGCCGCGCCGGGCAGCAGGAGGCGGGAGCGGCCGGGCACACGGGCTGGGAAGGGACTGGGAAGGGACCTTGCGTTTTGAGAAGGTCCCTCTGCAGGCCCTTATCTTTGCGTGCTGATTTTCCCACCGTCTGAGTGTCTTTATTCAAAGAGAACTAAGAAGTAACAGTGTGATTCCCTCCGTCRCCCCTGGGCTCTGCTGTTCCCGCATCCTGGTGAGACCTCGGCTAAGGCCCTGCGGAGAGGAGGGAGCGGGAGCTGTGGTGCCCAGACTGCCCCCCGTGTGAGGGGGCGTTCGGGCGCTGGCGAGCGCGAGGGGCCTGAGCAGCGGGGACGTGGAGCAGCCCTGCTCAGCCACCACTTGCTCTGCCCCGTGAGCCTGCCTGCCAGGCGGGACACGGGCTGCTCTGCAGAGCCAGCAGGGGCGGCTGAACGTGGCTGCATTCCCGCCAGAAAGCTTGGACAAGCAAAACTGCCTTCTGCTTTACGCCTCCCTGGGTGGCGCTTCCTCTTTGGCCCCTGGAGAGTGAGGGGCAACAGAGTCAGGTTTGGTGAAACCATTTCCATGCACTTGGCAGTTTAAGCGCCACAGGGAGGTCAGTCAGAGCAAGAGCCTTTGCGCAGCCCAGGGTGCAGAAATGCCCCGTGTGCTGCTGCCGTGCGGCCTGTCCCGGGGATAGTGCTGACAGAAACGGGCAGCATGATGGACCGCTCATAAGCAACTAAAAATCTACTGCTTTTATAAGGCCTAAGGAAGAGAGGCGGCTTTGAGTAAGTTTGCTCCCAGGGCGTTTCAGTTGTGCTCTCCTGCATCTGCCCTCTGGGAGGCCCCTTCCCGTGTGCTGGGAAGCCCTGGAGGTCGGTGGCACCAGAGCCCTGTTTGTCCCGCGGCTCGGAGGAGCTGTSGGCTCCACCTGGAGCTGGCGCTCGYGGGGGCGCTGCCAGTAACACCTGCAACCATAACCCACCAAACGTGTACGTTGCAAGAAGTTACCCATAAGGGATTGAAAGCGGCTCGGCAGAGTGTTTCCTCATGGATTTCTGCTTGGGATGGATTTCTGCTTGGGAAGAGCGGCGTTGCCGGTGGGGCCGGCGGGGCCGGTGGGGCCGGCGGGGCCGGTGGGGCCGGTGGGGCTGGTGGCCGATGCTGCTCTCTCTGTTGGCAGTGGTTGTGTGCGGCCACGAGGGCAGCGGCCGGCGCTGCGGCGGCCAGGGCGACCTCCTGGCGGGCTCCCTCGGCGTCCTGGCGCACTGGGCCTTCCTCGCCGGAGCGGAGCGCACCAACGGGTACGGAGAGCGCGGCCGAGGGTGGCGGGCGACGGGCCGGCTCTCCTCGCTCCGTGTCCCCCTGCGGCAGCTGCTCGAGAGGCTGCCACGYGAAGTGGGAGGAACGGGCGCGGAGCTACGCGGGTGCCCCCGCAGATGGGCGCTCCAGAGGACCGGGGGGTTTTAGTTTAGCTGGGTTAGCTCCAGTTTTAGTAAGACAGTTTTCTTCACTAATCTGATGTGTCCCAAGTTTAAGGCAGGAGAAGAATGTGAATGTGCTCGATTCCAGGGTGTGCGTTTTCAAAACAAGTAACTCTAGGCAGAAAACACGAAGAATGAAAAATGGCAGCCACTGGCAGTAATATCCATATATAATATATATATATATATATATATAAAATGTAATTTAGTTTTATATCTGTAATTTGATCTGTCTTGCCCTGTAGCCAAGGAACAGAGTAATTCACGTAAGCTGAGACTTGCAGATGAACTACAGCTCCAAGGAGGGTGGCTGTTTAAAGGCACAAGTGTCGGGTCAGCCCTCGTTAGGTGGCATCAGTCCCTGCCAGGGTAGAGCTCCGTAGAGTCCTGTGGCTTTTCCGTGAAAGGGGCTGCTCCAAGGGGATCGCCCAGCACCCCGGCACAAGGAACCAGGGAACAACGGTCTCTGTTCCAAGCAAGCATCTCGCTGTAGATGGCTCCTTGGTCTGAATATTCCCTTTTGAAAAGCAACAAAACAAAAACCCTGCTGCTTYACTCTCGCTGCCGGTCATTCATTACACCCCCCAATTCAGAAGTTCTTCACCAAATAAAGATATTTTCTCATGTAACTTTCCAATATGACAGTTCTTAGTAAGAGTGCACGTTCCTCTAGGTTGTAGGGGGTTTGTAAGGATAAGAGGTCACGGATGAGACGAGAYGTCAGTCGGGAGTGCTCCGCTTGCGCACTAAGCGATAACTTCCCTGCAGAGCCCTCCCTCCCCTGTGGGACCCGGCACGATGCCCGGCCCAGCAGCCAAAGCCGAGGGGCGCGAGGCTGAGAGGAGCGGGGGGACGGTGCAGAAACGTCCGGGTTGGTTTGTCACTGTTTCATTCCCCCGCCGCTTTCAGTCAGAACCCGTTCCTGGTGGCGGCGTTTGGAGCGTGCTCCCTCACGAGGCAGTGCAACAGCCAGGCCTTCCAGAAGCTGGGCCGCTCCATGACCGCCTCCGACATGGTGGCCGAGGTCGGCGCCGCCTTCGGCAAACTCTTCGAGACCTGAAGCCAAAGCAGCAGCCGGGCGGGAAGGCGAGCGCCGCGACGGCAGGAGTCGCCGCACTGACACGAGGGTGGACCCCGGGAGCGCACCCCGTCGAGTGCTGTAGCAGCGTTCGGGTAGGCTAGCTAGATTTTTTTCTTCTTATTTTTAAGAATAGAAAATATGATTAATGTAGATATTTTTTAAGAGTTTGGAATACAAAAATGTTTTGGCTGAAATAAGCTGTAGTGGCAGATCTGTTATAATATAATAAAACTAAACTTTAAGTATTCCTCTGTTCTTTTTCATAGTTAACTGAGCAATAACTAAAATTGTGAACTGCAGAAAAATGCACTTGATGTTTAGATGAAGGTAAAACTGCCACCAGCTCGGTTGAGCTGCGTGGCGCGCACCAAGGTTGTCGGGATTTCCTCTGTAGACTCTGTGTCTAGAATTAGCGATTGCACTTCATGTTTTCCTCATGTTAATATAGGAGAAAAAAGCAAAAAGCCTCTTTGGAAAGGGAAGGCGGGAGAGTTGCTGTAGATTTTGAATGTACGTAGTTGCCTCCGGCCGTTCCCAGCCCTCGAGGCTGCCTTCGTGTTGACAGCGCGTCCCCTCCTTGCAGTGTGGGAAAACCCAGCAAGCACCCGGAACAGGGCTGCGCCGGAGCGGGATTTGTTAGCTCTAGAGTTGTTGGTCCTTCTCACCTGGGAAGGTTTTACTTGCCGTTTCTGCAGCTGCTCTCAAGGCTAGACCCGAGTACCGTGAACTCCGTGACGTTACCAGTGGGAGAGGTAGGTGCTGGGAAGGGCCGGAAGCTTGGTGCTGCCCGGTGGAGGCTCCCGGTGGAGGCTCCCGGTGGAGGCTCCCGGTGGAGGCTGCCGGAGCCGCCTGCTGAGCTGCAGCTCCGCGGGCACCCGCGTGCCCGGAGCCGCAGGGGACACCGGGCCGGGCCCGCGCTGCGCCTGTTGCTGCGCCTGTTGCTGCCATCGTGGGCTAACAGGCGTTCAGCCAAGGGAAGAGGGGACACGGTCGCCAGGAGGGCCTGGAAGGGGACACTGCCCTGGAGCCCCACGCTCCGAGCACAGCACACRCTGGGAAGCGCCTGCTCCTTGCAGCCCGTGGTGCTCCCGTCCCCCTCGTGTCCCTCTCCGTGCCGGGGCTCCCGCCTGGCTCCCCTTCACACCCTGCGCCCGCTGCCCACCAGGGACCGAGGCACTCACCCAGGCTGCTCCGAGTGCCCCCTCCTGCCCTCCTGGTGACACSTCTGGATGCACTGTGACTACTACCTCACCCCAGGGCATTTCTCGTTGGTTTGTTTTGGGTTTTTTCTTTTCTTTTAAAACCAGCTGCCTATTCTTCAAATAGGTTTTTAAATATTTGCTCATTTTGACCTAGGAGGGTTCACAGACTTTTTAGATTAGAGCAACTCTGCTCTGAAAGGCTGGATTTTCCATGTTTAATTTAAGCAGTTTTGTAAACTGTCTACATCCTCGGGGAAAATACACTACTGTTGTTTCTCCCATTGAAACTACTTGAGAAGCCTGAGTCCTTCTATATAAAAGCATGATGTTAAWACTGGTTTTAAAACAACTACTGACTTCCTTTAAAAAACGAGCTTTTTTGTATGTGGAACAGCAATGGTATTATTTCAGAACTGCCTTTGTAGGCAAAGCCAAATCAATTACCTGCAATATGTACAGATTTCAGTCTGACTTGTTGGTTTTAAATCCACACAAAAGCTGGAACTTTGTTAATCACTAATGTGTACAAACAGTTAAAATTTACTTTTACAACATTCTGGAAATGTAGCCGTTTCTTTCCATAGGAAATAAAAAAATCTAGCAAATAAACGGTGGTGTGCCCTGTGCTTGGGGTGTTATTGGGGGGGTTGTGCTTAGCCAAGCGGTGCCTCGGGGCGCGTCCCTGTTTCCCCCAGAGGCTGACCCAGCTCCTGGAAGGAAAMCGTTTCCCATTCCTTCGCGTTCACTGTCGGTGTGAGCAATACAGCCGCTAACTCATGGAAAACAGCAGCAGCAGCAAAGGAGCGTCTGCCTAAGTGATCCCGAGTTCCCCTGCCGAAGCACCGATACCCTGAAAGGGAGCAGAAACAGCTACAGCTTTTTATTCGCTACTTAACCATATCTGTATAAAAAGAGAGTTTTTGTCCTTCTGCTTACTTGTAGAAATACATTTTTGGTAGAAATTGCTCATTTCTGAGCATTTGTTCTCATTTTCCCCAACTTCTCCCGCGGCCTTGACCATGAAGTTCTGGCTCCCGCAAGGAAGCAGCCGCCACCCGCCGCAGTCCYGCACCCGGCCACGGGCACGGAAGGAGGAGACCCTGCAGCTCCCGGCATCCACGGCACCCAGTTATCTTACATGGGAACCAGGACCAAAACAGAACGGATTCTGTCTCTGCTGCTCTTTGGGGTGCCTTTCTTAGGGCAGGCCGGAGGCTCTGTGGGTTTTTCACGTGCAACGTGTCTCAGCCGGGTTGTTCTCAGTAGGGACACCCCACGGGGCCCAGCCTGGGGGCTTTGAGCCTCGTCCTTGAGCCGGGGTCTCGGACACGGTGCTGTCACGTTGCCCTGAATTCCGCTCACCCCCGTGGCCCACCCGCACATTCCTGCCTTCACCGAGGAATCAACAACCAGGCAACACACACAGCAGGCACTAAGGGAACTGTGCCTTAACACAGGCACCATTTATTTGCCCATTATTATTATTTACAACTGYTCCGAATGTAATTGGAACCAAAAACAAGAAGTCCCACGATGAGGGATCAGGGCTTTTTCTCCTTCTTTGGCTCTGCTTGGCCCCCTTCCACAATTTCCCAGGTTGACCCTGCCGTTCTGTCCTGCAAGAACAAAGAAGGGAGTCAGTTTTAGCAGGCGGGATTAGGCAGGTGCCAGTGTCTGGGTCAATCCTGCTCGTGTGCCCTGCAATGYAGCGTAGAGCTCTGAGCGAGCGTGGAACACGCTTTTTGTCTGTAAATATACGGGCAAGATTGGTTTTCAAAGAACTTCCACATAGCAAAGTTATTAATCAACTTAGGAAAAAAAAATAATTAAAAAGAAGGCATTTCTTCGTTAGTACCATAATGCTGCGTGAGGTGTATACACTCTCTCAAGTGAGTAACTTCTGCYAAACTCACAGAGGACTCAGTGAATTTTCATGCTAAATCTTCTGTTGTATATGGAAAAATCTCTCTCTCTGGGCCAGTACCTGAGAGTCAATACTGCCTAACAAACCGATTTGGCCTCGCTGCTGTTTGGAAGCAGCGGAATTCCCGCTGTGTTGCTGGGAGCAGCTGCGAGGGGCTGCTGCCACCTGCGTGACTGCCTCTACGGGCAAACCGGTCCTCCGAACTACTAAAATGCAGACGTTGTTTGACTCCAGTTGTCAAAATTGAAAAAGTTAGTCTGAATATTGGATATTTAACTGAMGTGTTCAATGAGCTCTGACGTGCAAAATAAAGGGGGTAGAATGCAGAACTGTATAGAAAGGGAAACCTGCTGATACTTGAATATCTTGAACTTGAATATTGAACTGCACCGAGGGGCAGCTCAGTGTTAACTCTGGTGGCTTCGCACAAGCAGAGCAGCGCTTGCACCCGGCCGCAGAGGAGTAAAAGGAAAGGAGAGGCCAGGAGCTGAAGCAGAAGGGGCCTCCCCCCTGCACAAGTGACAGCGGCACCTTGGAGCAGCCGCCCCGTTCCCACCAGCCGGGGTCCATGGGGCGCTCTGAGGAACTGGGGCTCGTTTGCCGGTCTCCATCAGCTGTGGAGCATGCGAGCCCACGTCTGACAGGGGCAGCGGGTGCCTTGGAGCACCCTTGGAGCACCCTTGGAGCACGGGGATGCCGGCGGTCCCCAGAGTTCCGTGAAAGTCAGTGGCCGGGTAGAAGGGGGCAGTTGGACTCGCTGCCTTTGCTGCTTGCTGGGCAAACAGGAGCCCGCGGCAGCGGCCGCAGCGCCAGCGCGGCTGCAGGACGCAGGAGGCCACGGAAAGGTTGGGAAGCTCCAGGACAGAGCCAGGAACGGAGGGAGCTGCCCRAGCTGCGTGCTGGGCCTGTGGAGCTCCTGGGGGAGCCGCGGAGGTCGGGAGCGGGGCGGGATCCCCAGCGGGGCCGGAGCCCTGGGCAGCCCCACACTTGTGGGGCGAGCGCGAGGCCGGGCCCGGGAGCTCCCGACCGCCCAGCAGAGGCCGCAGGAAACAGAGGGCGCTTGAGTCCTGGCCAAGGCCCAGGCCCAGGGGCTCAGTAAAGGGCTTTAAGCCTTTCAAAAGCAAAAACCTCAGGAGCGCAGGSGCTTTGGGGGGAGCCGCCCTCAGGAGGGCAGCTGCTTCGCCTAACAGATCAAGAGATTCCTCTTCCCTAGTATTTTATTCCAGGACAGTTTGGTTTGGATTTGGGCGTTTTCTTGAGAGCCGAGTGCCCCGCTCTGCACCAGCCCGTGCAGGAGGCAGCGGCTGCAGCCTCCCAAAGCCCAGCTTTGCTCTGGGGCCGCTGCTCGCCCCAGGGCGCTCGGGCCCTGCACCCACTTGGACACCAGCCCCAAGTGAAASGGGGAGGCATCGGAGCAGACCTCGCGCCGGCTCTCAACAGACGCGCCGGGAAAGGACAGCTCTGGCACCCAGCCGTGAGAGGGGCCGGAGCCGCTGCCGCTCCCCACGCGGCTCTGCTTCCTCCCCGGCCCTCGGCACGGGCCGCAGGGCGACCCGGATGCAGCCGAGCTTTAGGCCCCGCCGGGTGAGGTGCCCGGGGAAGCAGCAGCGCCCGCCAGAGGAGAGGCTGGAGCCTCCGGAAAGCAGCGGAGGCAACGAGCAGGGAAGGGCCCTCGTGAGGGAGACCCGACTGCGGCCACGAGGGAGGAAAGGAAAGAGCCGGAGCAGCAACAGGCTGCGAGCGGGGCAGAGCAGGAAGGATCCGCATGGGAACCAAGTGAAGTGACGATGGATCAGAACCAATTTGGAACAAATCTATGGAGCAAAAGAGAGGCTTCCTTGGGAGAACTTCGCTTTTTGGAGGGAGCCTGTGAGGAAGAGGCGATGTTTTCACAACCTCGTTTGCTTTCCAGTGCCGCTGCCGTCCTGTCAAAGCGGCACGCGTTGCTGCTCGCTTTCCTGCTGGATTAAACCCAGGCTGCTTCAGGATTTCTGGGCCCGCCGGGATTTTCAGCGGCTACRCAACGCTCCCGTAGCAGCTGCAGAGGCAGCTGTGGTTTGCACGGGGACACGCGGTCGAGGCCAGGCAGAAGGGAGGCCGCGCCGGGCACGGGCCGAGTTACTGCAGCGCCCAGGGAGCGGAGCGGAGCGCGCAGAGCTGCTGGCCAAGGGCCACCGTAAAGCCTGCCTTAAACAAACGAGCACAAAAGAAAGAAAAACACAAAACAAAACCCCAAAACAACACCCCCCCCTTTTCTCACAGTCACTCCAAGAAGGCAGTAGCTGCCCCGTACCTTTATGTGGACTCCCAAGGCGGCGAGGTCTCGGCGCAGATGGTCACAGGCCTCCAGGAGGGGCTGCCTCTCCTCCCTGAGCCGCCGCCGCCGCCGCTGCGGGTCGGGCGCCGTGTCCGGGGCCGGGGCCGTGTCCGTGTCGGTGTGGGCGAGCGCGTAGGCGCGCACGCGCGCCCGGAACTGCACCAGCTCCTCCAGCACGCGGCCGAGCAGGGCGCCCCGGCCGCCCGCCRCGCCGCCCTGCAAGGCACGCGCGCCCCGTTAGCCGCGGCTGCCAGAGGCTTCCAGGCAGTCCCGGCTCAGCAGGGCACGCTGCGGCCTTCCCGTCCCCCTGGGTTGGGCATATGCCTTTATCCGCGTGGGATTAGAGCACCGCAAGGCCTCCCAGCGCCGAGCAGAAGCTACAGGACAGGGCGAGTGTGCACGTGCTCGACGGCGTGTTCCCGCACCGGGAGCCTCTCCGGGAGCAACCTCACACCAACACAACGTGCTGGGTAGCACACGGATGGAACCGGCTGCCGCAGGAGCCCCCGGGGGCCGAGAGGAGCGCGTGTTTTCAGAGGGATGAGGCAAGTTACTGGAGGCAGCCCTGGTAGGAGGGAAACGCGACCTGGGACTCGCACAGCCCCGGGCTGCCGCGTCTGCGGAGCTGGAGTGCGCGCCGGCCCGGATCCCGGCCGGGAACCCCGGGCCCGCCTCAGGAAACCCGGCCAGGAAGGCTACTTAAGCACTTGCACTCCAAATCCCGGGCTGATCCCACTTCCCGCAGCCTGGAAGGCTGTGCAGAGCCTCCCCGACACGCACAGCTCCGTCTGCTCCTCCGTCAGCTCCGTGCAGCCCGAGGAGCCGCTCGCGCCTCCCAGCGCTTCCCGGGCCGCTCCTCCCGGGCAGCCTCCGGCAGCMTCCGCTTCCACCGAGAGGGCGGCCGCCGTGCGGGGCCCATTGCCTCTCCCTTCCCGTTTGCTCCCTGTTCCCACCTGCTGCCTGTCGCGCCGGGAGCGCCGCTCGGCAGCGCCCAGACCCCTGCCTGTGCCGCCAGCAGCCGTGCCTGGGACGGCCTCCAAAGGGCCGGGCGCTCCCCGGCCTCGTGTCCTGTCGGGGGCTCCTTCAGAAACTGAGGATGGATTCGTCCCAGCTACCTCCTGCCCGGGCTCCCTCTAACCCCTGGAGAAGGAGGAGGATGTTGCTTTACGTGGTCACGAGGCTGCGATGAGGTGTCCTGCAGAGGCACCTTGCTCTCTCCACAGACCTCCGCAGAGGCACAGCTTGCTGCACCAGAGCACGAGGCCCATTAACTGACAGGGATCCCATCCAAAAACAGGATGGGCCATGGGCTACATCCACCTATGCAATTAGAGAGGGCCCAAATACTGTCTCCCTGAAGCCCCTGTGTCACACTGCGAGTGTGGCAGAGCTCAGGTCAGGAACACTCCTCCAGGTGGGCCTGGCAGTTCAGGCATTCAGACAGTGCAGGGATCACATCACACAATCCCAGAATGGTTGAGGTTGGAAGAGACCTCTGGAGACCATCTAGTCCAACCCGCTGCTCCAGCAGGGACACCCAGAGCACGGGGCACAGGGCGGCATCCAGGCGGGTTTGGAAGACCTCCAGAGAAGGAGACTCCACAGCCTCCCTGGGCAGCCTGTTCCACTGCTCTGCCACCCTCACAGGGAAGAAGTTCCTCCTCACCTGGAGATGGAACTGCCTGTGTTTCAACTTGCACCCATTGCCCCTTCTCCTGTCACTGGCCACCACTGAGAAGAGCTTGGCCYCTTCCCCCCTACATTCCCCCTTCACGTATTTATACATATTGATCAGATCCCCCCTCAGCCTTCTCCAGGGTAAACAGGCCCAGCTCACTCAGTCTCTCCTCATAGGACAGATGCTCCACTCCCTTAATCCCCTCGGTTGCTCTCCGCTGGACCCTCTCTAGAAGCTCCATGTCCCTCTAGCACTGGGGAGCCCAGCCCCAAACCATCCACAAGCTGGGGGCACCTTGTTTTGACAGTAGAAAAGCTGCCTGGCTGTGCGTGTAGCCGCTCTAACTGGTCTTAAGGACAGAGACACATTTTATTTATCTTATTTATTAGCCCGTGGGAGCCCACGGACCCTCTGAACTCACTGATGTCTCTAACTCTTCTCACACGACTTCTACATTCAATTTACATGCAGATAGAAGTGTTCAGTATGCCACAGAAAACTGAACATGACAAATGCATGGGTGGCAAGGAGTAACAAGTAGGTGAACCTTAGCCAGCAGCTGTTTTCAAAATTTTTTAAAAATCCACAAACAGAGGCAAAGGGAATATATGCATTTATTCTTATAGAGTGCCTGATTTCCAAAGGATAAATAAATGCTTACTTTTATTTTCTAATGCTCTTCTACCTTCCTCACTTCACCAAGGAGTTCTTGTGGAACAGGCTTTCTAAAGATCAACCTCCATCCAATTCCAGAGTCACGAGCCCATGGAAGGGGAACCACAGAGCCCACTGCTTGCTGGTGTCTCCATCACCTTCCCTCGCTTAAACTGCCTCTCTCCCACGTATCACTGGGATATTCCCTTCGTATTTATCCCTCAGTCCATTCAGAGCTTTGCTGTGGACGTTTCTCTCATTTCATCCTGCCTTTTCAAGCAGCCTTTCCCGGCGCACAGCTCACACCTCCCCACAGGCCCCACAGGCCCCACGCCGATGCCGGAGGGGAGCAGCGCCCTCGCTGCGCTGCCCCGTGCTCCCCTCGGCCCGGGAACAGACACGGGGCGGCAGCAGCAGCCTGGGAGGCCTCTCCCACCAGCCGCTTCCTGCTGCATCCCTGCAGCCCGCGCCCGTGCAGGAGCAGGGGGCAGCCGCAAGGGAGCCCCCGTCCTGCCCTCGCCCGTTCTGCCCGCTCAGACGCTCTGCCAGGACACCGCAGCAGAAGCTGCAAGGGATGCAGACAGACCTACTCARTTCGTAAATGTCTCAGAGCTAAAAGTGGTCTATGAAACACAGTGCTGGCGCTGGTACCACCCCATAGTACAGAGATGTTTCCTACCTGTTTTTCCCCAAGAGACATTCCAAGGGCATTAAAAAAGTCCTTTACATAGGAAACGATGCTGCCATACACAACGGAGCTTCTAGGAGATCCAGTTTCCTGCCAAAAAAAAAAAAAGAATATATATATATAAAAATATATATTTTTATATATATATAATATATATTTTTATATATATATATATATTTATATATATATATAAAAGAATATATATAAAAGAATACATATACATATACATATATATATATATATATAGGAAATGCCCACTTAAAACACTGCAGAACTGAGCAGCTATCCATAGACTAGTTCACAAGGGAAAACTGTTACCTGTTTCACAGACCTACTTCAACTAGTAAAATCCACCCAGGTGGGAACTTTTACACGGATGTAAAAGCACATTTCAATGACTCCCCTCACAGGACAAGAAGAGAAAAAATAATAATAAAATTAAGGAAATGGAGGARGGGAAGGGCTTGTCACCAGCAAGGAGATGCGTGAAACCACGACGCGTTAATGGACACAATAAGTCAGACCCCAAAATAACACTGCCGTGTGGCAAAGCACATGCAAAGAAAATAAAGGAAGAAAAACCACAGCTTGAAAGGCATCTGCATCGAAAGGAGGAGGAGAAAAAAAAAGCCACTTTGAGTGTGTTATTTATTGAAATGCTGTAAATGCTGCACTGACAGCTTATGGTGTATGGCCATGCCCTGGCAGCAGCAGCCACGAGCAGCACTTTCCAGAGCATACAGGCTTCCTTGCTGCCTCTGTAGTTACTCCCTCTCCAAAAGAAAATCTCTAGGAAGAGGCAGCGATAGGAGGCCTGGGGAGACCAACAATGACACCCACAGAACCAAACTAGAGCTGTGTTTTATCTGATACCGCTGTTAGTGTCTCAGAGAAGCCACCAAGAGCAGCACTTGCAAAGGGCCTACCTGGGAGAAACTGAACTGTTAAGGAAAAGAAACAGGAATGGGTAATGCAATGAAGACAAGAACTGTAAGAAGATCAAAAGCAGGAATGTGTTGTATTCCCATGAATTTACTCAAGCAGCTCTTGAGGAGAAGCAGTACATTTGTGTTYGGTAAGAAGTTCAAAGGGAAGCTCCAAAAGAAGCTCCATCACAGGCAGGAAAGATCCAGCTCCGAGTAAACTGCACTTCAGATGCTCCCTCCGGCTCTTAGCGAACGGAACGGGAGAGTGAACTCAAAAAAATGGGGTGAAAATGATCAGCAAAATGACGATGTTTTAACGTAAAGAGCGGGGCTGGCACTGCAGTCCCTACTGCAACTGGTCCGAGTCAGGGATTTACTCAGGTAAATGATTTTTTCAAGGAAAGGGAAAGCTGCTCCGTAGGCTTGGGACAGAATTTCAAGCCAGTGCCAAACAACTTTAAGCCAGTGAGCAAATTCTACCTTTAAATCAGCGATGACTGTACATGCTGTTTAGCACATATACCATGTACAAAAAGGGTGGACCACCACGAAACCGGCCCTGAGGGGCACAGCAACAAGGCCAAGCAGTTTCCCCGCGGCTCCGAAGGCACCAGCAGCACGGGAAGCCCCTGGCGCTGCCTCCTGCTCGGATCTGGGGCTGCCTGGGCGCTCTCCCGGCCCCCACCAGCGGCCTCCACCTGCCCCCTGGCCCGAGCCGAGTCCTACGCCGGGGGATTAAGCCGGGAACGCAAGGCCGGCGTTAACATTAGGAGCACGTTGCCGTGGCCTCGGGCCTCTCGGAAAGCTGCCTCCATGCAGGGCAGCAGGGGAGCCCCCGGCCTGGGACACTCGGGAACGGGGCTGTTCCCGTGGCACAAGCGGCTGCGGTCAGCAGCGCGCGGAGCTTCCGTCCTGCCGGCCGCCTGTGCCGGCAAGAGCGGCGGGGCAGCGCACGCCTGTGATTCCCGAGCTCTGTATCCCAACGGGTTACCTTGGAAACGGCCGTGAGCTGCCGGTTGCCATGGTGAATGAGGTCCATAACCGCTGCCACGGCGCCGGGGGTGTCGAAGTCGTCGGCAAGCGCCGCCCTCACGGTCGCCTCCGTGCGGTCCAGCCTTGCCGCAGGGAGACGGTAACGGTCAGAGGGGGCACGCGGCGGGATGCGGCACCCCCCCTGCCAGCGCCACGAGCCAGACACGGACACTGCCCCTGGGAGCCAGGCCACGGACACTGCCCCTTCCTCCCCAGCTTCCCAGCCTGGCGCATCCCGGCGGTGCAGCCAAAAGCTCCGGCGGAAACGTTGGCACAAGCGGGAGCCGACAGTGACTCCAGYGCCTCGCCAGGAACCCCTGCTACCGCCGCTACCAGCTCGGAAAGTGGGAACAGGAGCGGTGGGAATTAAGGGCAACCGGCTGCCAGCAGCTCCCGCACGCAGCGGGATCCATCCAGGGCCTGCATGGAACTGGCTCGAGACCCTGACATGTCCATGGGGACACTCACTGGGGAAGCTGAAACTGCCCCGGCAGCTCCRTGGTTCTTCTGATCCCGGTTCTGATTCCGAGTGTTCCTGTCTGGAATGGCGGCCTCTGCTTGGGAGCGCAACAGCACCCACGGAGCTGCTCGTAGGTGGCCACGGAGCATCCAGCCCCTCTCCCACCCGAGCTGCCGAGCGCCGCGCTCGGCCTCACGCCCCTGCAACCCACATCTGTCCTGAAAGGACATCCCGTTGGAGAGAAGGACCCCAAAAAGCTCCTCCTCGTGCCCGCACAGCTCCCATTGCCGTCAGTTCATCCTTCCCGCGCCTCCTTGGCAAGCCCCTGTCCTCTGCCCCACGCCAGAGCGCCCGTCACTGATCACACACGTGCTGAGCGCTGCTTCCCAGGGGCCCCCTTCGCTCTTCCATTACCCACACACACTTGTACTGACACGGCGGGGCACTTCACAGCCCCAGTGACAGCTTTTCCCCCGGCACCAGTSGCACAGGAGGCGCCGGCCAAGGCGGCCACACAGGCAACCGGCAGGTACCGAGAGCAAAGCGCGACCCAGGAGAAGCAGCTCCACGGAGAAGGGGCAGCTGCCGTGCCGGGTGCCAGGGAGCCCAGTTGAGCTCTTCCCTGTTCCCTCTTAGCAGCAACCAGGTCACTGCCAGGTCCAGCCCTCTGCRCCGGTCGCCGATTTGCACATTCCTGCTCCCAAAGCCATGCTCTTTCAGAGGGAGGAAGGGCACGCACCTTTCCCAGAGCAGGTCTTCCCTCACAGGGCCACACACCAGCTGGCCCTTCACGTAGGCGCTGGCATCTTCCATGAAGGAGGAAACCGCCCGCAGAAGGTGCTTYGCGTCATCCATGGTCTCGTCGCTGAATTCCACAGCTAGGGAAAGAAACACAGGCTGCACTGGGRATCGGGACACACGCGAGGCTGCCCGTCGTACTCAGGAGCAGTGTGCTAAGAAATAGGCACCCCGGGATGAGTGCTTTGCTATTGGTCACAGCAAGCTCCAAGAAAAGTTACTTGTGTATTCCACTTTGTCATATTTAAGGACTGTCTTCKATATTCGTTACATTTATCTAGTGTGCCTGGAAAAGTATGACCTACTGAAAAGGAATCGGATGAATTCCAGGAGTGCTTGGCAGCTTACTGAAGCAACGGGAAAGCGATTTCAAGTTTTGTTGGTTTTTCTTCTTTCAGCATTGCATCTTTCTGCCTAGCCATTATCCCGAAGTACCTTGGGATAWAAGACATATTGCTCATCACCGATGAGCTCCTCAGAGAGGAGCACAGGGGATGCTCTTTTTGCCTACCCCTTACTTTCATTCCTGTTCTAACTTAGGAGGACGTGACRCATCTTTGGAACCCCTCAAAGCCTCTCGCCCTTGCCAGTGATCCCATAAGGACCCAGCCACCTCTTCCCGCGGGACAGCCCTACSCGCATCCAAGCTGCCGCGGACGCCCCTCAGCTCAGGGGCCCAGACCCCGCGGGGCGGCAGGGCCCGGCCCCAGGCCCAGGCCCGAGCTGCSGCAGCAGCCTCTAAGGCCGCTTCCAAAGAGAAGCTGGGAGAAATTGGTGAGCAGGAACGGGGCCCGTGGCACCGCTCAGACCAGCCCCACTGACCTCGGCTCTCTGTACAAGTGGTAAGAAAGGGAAAASCCACCAGCAAACGGCTGCCCGGGCCCCAGCAGGGACACCCGCTGACCCTAACAGGGGTTCCTGCTCCCCCACAGCCACAGGGACCCCCTGCCAGCACCAGTGCCACCCGTGCCCTCGCTGCGGGCGCTGCTGCCGCCTTCCAAGGGACTCTGCCCGGCGGTCCCTCCAAGCTGAGGGGGCTGCCAAAACTTGGGGTGCTGCTGCCTGCGACGTGAGCAGAGCCCCTCGTCCTGCGTTAGCCCTGGGCCGCTTCTGCAGGCGGCCGCCCTGGCCGGGCCTCGCTTTGCCCTCGGGAACGCGGCTCGCCGGGTGGCACGAGGCCACCACGCCGAGACGGCGCTGGTCCCGCCGGCCGCCCGGCGCTGCACGCGGGCCGCGCCGCTAGCAGCGGCGCCGCAGCTTCTGCCCCTGCGCTTTTTACAAGACTCACGTACCCTTTTTTTTCAAATGTGTAAGACATWGAAAGAAATTTATACCCACTCTAAATTATAGCTTTATTTATCTTTCAATTATCTACTAAGATGTCAGAACCGATCACGCCAAGGAGGGGAGGGAGGACGGATTCTCCAGGAGGAGCRCCCGGATGCAGGTTTCCCCTACGAAGGCCGCTGTGGTTAGAGCTATTCTTCTTCACTGGTTTATGGCATGCTCTGAGCTACCGTTYATAGTCACTGGAAATGCACAGCCCAGCACAAACACGTCCAGAAATTCTCACTGTACCCAGCAATCCTTCACTACCAAACACAGAAACACCAGATCATCAAATAAAACAACAGAAGGTTTATTAGCACCTGCCAGCAACTAAAGACCAGAACAAGCACAAGGCCGTGGCTCACCYGAGGATCCCCGACTCGCTGAGCCCATCTCCAGGGACGAGCAGAGCGTTTTTGGGACGGAAACCTGCCGCCCACAGCAGGTTTGCAGCCCCTCCGTGTAACAGCAAAGGCAGAGCCACCTTTGATGGGGCAGGAGAGCAGCGACCCCCAAGCAGGTGCCGGGGAGCCCCACAGGCGCTCACGGGCGCAGGGCTTCGCCCCCCGGCCCAGCCCGTCGGGGGGAGCCCGAGCCCCATGGTCTGCAGAGGCTCCTCAGCAAGGCCTCGTGCCGCCCTCTGAGCCAGCACACCGCGCCAAGAGCTGCCCTGCCCGCAGCCCAAGCCAGCCGCAGTTAGGGGCGCACAGGGGGGCTCGGGATTCGCCTCCAACGCAAACGCTTGGGCAGCAAGGAGAGGCAAGGGGGCGGCAGGCTTCACTCCGAAGCTCCTTAGCAGCGAGCAAGGGCACACGCTGCTCAGCTCTGGCCCGGAGAGGGGACCGAGCGCAGCCGGTTCTCTGACGGCTCAGCATTCCCAAAGCCCTCGTGTGCCTTGTTAGAGTGGGGACCCACCGCGATCACCACACTTGGTTTAAATCTCACTGCAAGACTAAGGGTGCCAGCAAACCAGGTGACACACAAAGAGTTATGGAACTGCCATCTTCTTTTGTCAGGTACCAATAAACCAGCAAAAGTGCAACCTGGGCCAAAAAAGTCTTATGGTCAGAAGCAGCATTTGCCTGTTGGAAGCACCCTGGTGTGGACAGAGACGCTAACCAAATTCTCCCTCACCTCCGTCCCCTTGTAGTTCTCACCACCCTAACATGGCCATGGTTCATCAGGGATCCACCTGCACCCCGGAACTCCCTGAATGCTGAGCAACTGCACAGGGCAAACCACAAACCAGCAGGGAAATAAATGGATAAATAATATCAGGAAGCCCTTGCCGTGCCCTACAGGAATAAAAGGTAGGGCTCTACCTAGGTACCTCCTCCAGCCGCAGMTGATCGTGACTGCAACACAGGCAACTGCAACAGATGCAAATCAGAGGTGGAGGCAATTCATTAATTGAGAGTGCAATTAATTGAGAGCTGCAATTAACTGAAATTCAGGAAGGAAATCAGACACATGCCTAAGCGCTCTCCTTGGTAAGGACGTTTCTGTAAGCAACAGCCCAAGAGCCACCCTGCGGAGCACCGGGAACCTCTGCACTTACAAACGGGATCTTGAAGGCTCCGCAAGGAAGAAATCCACTTCCCGGCCCCACAGGCCCCCCTGGAGCTGGCAAGTGTGCTTAGAAGGGCACATACCTTGAGAAACCACTCCGCTCTTACCTGAGCTGTATCTGCTGCGCAAACAAAACATCCTGAACTGATCGGCTGAAAACTTCTGCAGGAAATCCTAAAGTCCAATGACAAAAAGACAGCTTCGTCATTCTGTTAAATTAACTTTTTATTGAGTTTTCTGCCCTCTTTTTTAGTTTCACRGACTATTTCAGACTAATGAACATTACAAATAACCCACATTTGCAGTTTTAGATTAAAACTTTCAAGTCTGAATTGAACAGAATCTAATTTCATAGGAAAGTAATATATAAATATACACATGTACATAGATCTGAGATACAAACCATGCCACCCACAAATGCATGATGCAGAAAAATACTCTGCAATTATGATCAATGTAAAATAGCTAAGACTATTGGAAAAAGCAAAACTAAATTACTGGACTAAGATGGGGGTACAATTTGGCAGGGAAGAACTCCTAAGTTTTTCAAATTTTAGAGGAAAAAAAAAAAGATTAAACTCCCTGAAATAGCTAAGCCTGTCATTTTTCCTATAGGAACAGGACATCAGGTCTTTTTTATATTCCTTTAATTTACCTGTGTAAGTTATGAGTGATTTGGGCTTAATACTTAGCTAGCTTTACTTTGCTATTGCTATAAAGAATTTCATTTACTCAAAAGAACTTCTTAAAAAGCTTATGGGCACTTTTTTAAAAAGCTTATGGGCACTTTTATAACATTCAGTCACTTAACAACTCCACTTGCAGCCAGGAAGTTGGACAAGGTGCAAATTAACTGTGACCACTTCATTTCTCTCTTCCTTTTAATTAGCAACTTGGTGGTATTAAGTGCTACAAACTTGCTATCGCTAATTTGCTGATTTWAAAAAACTGCCACTGAAACAGAAAGGCACAAGAAGTCAGTACAAATAAGCAAATACCAAAAACTTGGTGAATTTATGGATGCACATCCCAAAATTTAGCTTCGGCTACAAACTTAAATGGCCTGAACACTGCAAGTTGCACAATGTCAGCAAYGTGCAGTGTCTCCAACAAAAATTAAAGTTATTGAGGCAATCAAGGTAAGCTAAAATCAAGAAACAGACTGAGAAAACTAAATAGATTTTTCTATAAACTCTGTACAAGTGAATATGCTCAATGTGCCTGGAGGTTTTATGTTGCTATACAGAGGGTGAACAACATGAATAAAGCAAGGAAATAAATTCTACCGAGGCAAACTCTGAATTTGGGAAGAGATAACAGAAATCAGAAAAATCACTTTTTTAGTTTGGGAATAAAGGAGCCCAGAGGAGGAAAGTCTCCTAACTCTCCCAAAGCTGGCTGTGTGGCAGTGCCTGATGCCTCCACACTTGATTCAGGGGGTCAGACTTTGTAGCTATGTTAAAAAATCAGAGAGGGGAAGAAGGGGGAAGCCAAACAGCAGCCCAGCCGGGCTGGGAACATGGAGCGMGGCTGCAGGGAGGCCAATCCAGGGCTCGGGGGCCACCTGGAAGGCGCCAGTGCCCGCGGGGACGGAGGGAGGGCCCAGGCACCCTCACACTTCCAGAGCACACATAAAAAGTTCCTCATGGGGCTTGAAGACACAGAGAGACCACACGGGGAGAAATCTGGTTCAGTGGACTCAAAATTACTCACAGGAGAGGATTAATCTTTGTTAACTTCATCTAACCACAGAAATTAAAAGGACAGAGCTGCAACACAAGGCAGATCCCTGGTTTCCTGTTGTTGTTGAGCCCATCACTACTTGCTAGCAAGAAATTTTTGTTCCCCTCACACACAGKTTTTTTTCTCAATGCAACCAAATCCCACTAGAAAAGTCAGTGAACGTCTCCATACTTTTTTATCATTATTACTTTTGCATGTGTTGCATTAATAGTCATTTTTCGCCCTGTCTACAAGATCTGCTTACACTCGGGAAATTTCTTCCAAAATGTGAGTAACAGACGATCTTCCTTGGGGACACCAGGCTTATCTGTGCACAGGCAGCACCAGGAGAACCAAGAGTAAAGCAGCTCAACTTGAATCCTGCTTTGAAAGGGATTTTTAATTGGTGTCCCAAGAGAGCAAGGGGGAACACATGTGCTCCAACAGCCTCTTCAGCCTGGTCTAGGGCAAGAAAATTACCCTCTTCTAACAATAGGTGTCAGTCATCAGTGTTAGTACGGCTGGATCAGGCACCTGAGGACAGTTAAACCCTGCTCTGCGCTACTTCAAAGCCTTCATTTCAACCTCTTCATGAACCTTCCTTCAGAGGGAAAAAAAAGGAAATATCAGAAGTCCCTGTTTCAGTGCACGGAGAGACCTGCCTCTGGAAAAAGCTTCCTCTCTGATGCAGTAGAGCAGGACGTGCTCGTGCCACCYGCTGATGTTGAAGGACAAGGCTCTGTGTGCAGCAGCAAGAAGGTGGCAGTGAAGAATAAWGGGGAATATGAGGGACCGTATGTGCCATGGTACAGCCGTGGGATACCTGGTAAGTTCCAGACAAAACATTAAGACTCATACAGGATGAGGAGAAACACCCACACTTTTATAAGTCACCAAAGCACATACAAACAGCAAGAGCAAGCAGGAGGGAGCCGTTTCTGTAATGCTAAAGYCTAGTGCTGGGCCCAAATGCTGCTTCTGCAAATGCTCTCCCCTCGGTCAGAGCCAAGTGCCAGAGGCAGCTCATGAAAACCCTTAGTTTTTATGAACAGAATCACATTACATCCTTTGCTCCTCACCTTCGAGGTTAAAACAACTGCTGAGTCAAAGCAAGTTTCCTACGCTGAAATGCAGGATAACACGTAYGCCTGTGCCAGAAAAACACTCTTAATCCTCTTAGTCACTAGTTCTGTCACCACAGTGTAAGCACACACACTCAACTGTTTTCTCAAAAGAGGGCTATGATTAAAATTCACCTCTTAAAAACAGTTGTTCAATTCACAACAGTAAGTTACCTTAATTGTTATGTAGTTTTTTAGCGACTTGGACATTTTTTCTTGACTTCCCTTAACATGTAAATGACCTAGAATTAAAAAAAAAAAAAAAACAGATATATCAGGATAAATTAATGTACTTCTGAACTGGGAGTGAATGAGGAAAAAAGCTCTGCATTGAGACACTGCAGTCACTGAAAGTAGCACACCCTGAGACAGATGTGTGCCAACCATATCCATGAAACACACATTTTTCCACACTTTTGCCTACAATTCCACACACTTCTCTGCCCTCAACATTGGCTGGGGGCATTTTAAAACATAAGAAAATTTTATTAAAAAAATACACTAATTCAGGAAAAAAATAGTATCCCTGAACATAAGTGGTGAAAAAATAAATTACAAACAAGCAAGCACTTTTCCACAGAAAAGTGGAATTACCTTACCTACCTTACCTGTCTCGTTTGACTCTCCAGAAATATTTTAATGTCTTTAAAGATCTTTCAGTGATCTCACAGAACAATATTCTTGCCACTATTTTTTTTAAGTTGAATTACTCATTGGCAGGTGCTACCCTATAATTTTTTATTTCTAAGGTTTATTTTTTGTTGCTTCAAAACACCATGTGTTGAACACAACCTTGATATTTTTGTGCATTCCCTATTCTGAAACTTGATCAACCAAAAATTCAGAGCTAGCAGATTGCCAGAAGGGATTAGAGAGGATAAGGAAGAGCTGAGGTTTTCTGAAGATCTATTTGAAAAGTTACTGTAAAACAGGTCAAATTTTCTGGAAGACAACTGTTAGATTTTGCAACTAGCTTGTCAGAAGGAACTTTCTGAAAAAGAACGCTGAATTTCTTGATTCATTTTCACAATTTCTTCATTGACTTTGGCATGTCATTCATGTTGAAAAGCTCCGTCGGCAGCTTATAGTCACACAGTAAAATTAGCAAGGAAAACTGAGAACAGCAGAGGACTACACCTTGGGAAATAAACCCATATATGCTACCCAGGAGTCCCTCCATGGCAAGCAGAGCAAATAACAGCTATGAGGAGCATCCAAGCAGCAAAAGGGAGCTCTACAGACCTCCTACACCACGTCCACTTGCAGCTTAAGCTGTCTAAACTGTGTCATGCTGAAAGCACATGGCTTTTTATCACAGCATCATGGTCCAGTCTCCCTCTAGAGCATTTTAATAGCTGTTGTGCTGCCCTTTCCCACCACAAAGAGTTGTGTCTCTGCTCGCAACACAGCCCCTTCACACAGGTATTGCTCTGAGCGGGTCCTGCACCTGGACCGGCTCCTTTCCTGCCATCCTGGTGGGTTTACCAGGTAAACAGAGAAATCACAGAATCACAGGAAGACTTGGGTTGAACTTCAGGTCATCCGACGACCAAAGCCTCTGCTCCTAGCAGGCCTGACTGGAGCTACAAGATGCTCAAGAATCAACAAGCGGTGCTTGAAGAAGGGAATTCATTTTTGGTCTCCTCACCCTGTGCTGCTGTTTAAAGAGCTAGCGAGGACGGGTGATATTCAGGGAAGCCTCTTCCCTGAATCTCGATCTGCTGTGCCTGACCTAACCGTGTAGTTAGGCCAACCATCTGGGCAGGCCTTGGGAGGCCGAGACAAGGAAGGGAGAGGGGAGAATGTGACTAGGATGCCTAATTTGCATTAGTTTACTCTGTGTAATCTCTGAATGTTGCTAGGGCTTCCAGTAGCTGCACTGGAGTTCGCAGGGCTGGAAAGGGAAGGAAAGGAAAAGGAAAAGGCCTCCTCTGTGAGGCCTGGGAGAGGCGGCAGAGCTCAGCACGGGGCCAGAAGGRGCCCTCAGGGCCACAGTAGGGAGGAGACCCCAGCACCAGCCCCAGCGCCACCGCTGAGGGGAAACACCCGGCAACCCCGAGGGAAAACGGGAACATGTGGCCCACGCGACACTCGGTGCCTCTTCAGAAACACAGCCTAAAGCCTTAAACGGCTGCTTCTATTAGAACAGTAACCCTACACGTTACCGAGAAGCCACAACTAACACAYGGTTTTCAGGTGTTCAGTTACTCGCAGAATCCATCACTTCAACAAACCAACATGGCTGATTWCCCTGCTAACCATCCCATCAGCACTCTGCCTTTACTCGGGCTTCACAGCCCAGGAGTATCCGATGCCTACGGGATGCTCCAGCGAGCGAGAAAAGGGCCAGCCCCTAACACRCGAACATGCTTTTGTTTCCAGAGACAGGAGGGTTCTTGATCAACAGGTTTTAGTTTAGGTCCAACGAAAGGTTTTAGTTCTTGATCAAGAGCCCAACCAGCTGCCCGGATCCTGTGCATTCCCTCACAGCTTTGTGGGGAAATCTCTAGCTTTCACAAGCAGATGAAACTCCCCATCCTCCTCTTCTGGATGCGACAGCAGCGTACTCAGACATGGTGGACAGATGCCCAAAGTAGCCTCGTGCTCTTTCTGAGAGTGGCTTGAATCAGCAAGAACTCTACACGAGAAAGACACCTTCAGTCCCATCCCCAACCACCCGTCAGTTCTGGTTTACACAACGCGCTGCATCAAGGGTACGACGGAACCCGAGATCTGTGGATCCAGAACCAGCTAGAGCAGAAGTCAACCATCAAAACAAACCCTCTTTTTCATCATGTTTGCCCTAACAGATGAGGCCATTTTCACTACTGTGTGATTGAGAATACGGCCCTATCACTCAGGCTGTCAGAAATGTTGGACACTGGCAGTGTGTGAAATCCACACAAACTTCTTTGGAAAAGGGGAACAGCTTGCGTTAGATTTTTTTTTTGCTCTTGTAAACTTGCTTCAGTATTGATTAACTTTAGGCAGTCAAATTAAAAATAAGATGATCACATGTTTTCCTCCTAAGATTATCAGTAACATCTGAATTTGAAGCATTTCTCTTGAAGAGTTTCATCGCTTAGATTGGTTTCATTGAGGAACCACAAAATATAAGGATTTTCATAACTTTGGCTTGGCACTCTTCCCAGAGTACAAGTAGTCTAAAAATAATTCCTTATAAAAAGATTTATCCCCAGTGCAAGGATTTTCTTCCTGTAATGGGGATCATGCCTCCAATTCTGTGTGCGCTAAAATTCCTAAGTCTGTTACCAGAATAAATTGTTTCTCAAGCCAAATCACTTGCCCTGAATAATTCACATTATTGTCCTCCAGCAAAACTTCTTGACTTAATGAATGTAATCCATCAGCTTCCAGAAAACTCTATGTTAGTTACCCTTGAGATCAAGTTCCTTCTGTTTTGAGAAAAATACACAAATTCTATTTATTTATTTTCAAATAACAATTTCCCTCTAGTTTTGATGACAAACATTAAAAAAATATATATATATGAAATGTACTGGATATTGCCAGCTAGAGCCCTTCACTAAAAACCCATGAACCTCAGTGAGGAGGGCACAGAATTTCCCAGCACTTGAGGACTGCTAGGACACCCTGGAGGATGCATCAGCCTCTGTTGATTTCTGACAGGCTCTACACAGAGAACTGGAGCTAGAGTTCAGTATTCCGTCCACACACTGCAAATTTAAAATATTTTAAAAGGAAAGCCTGAACAATTCCCAGAGTGGACAACAGGCTCAGTTCTACAGCTGTTACTCAGACAAGTAGTTCAAGGCATCTTGCACAAGGCATTCAGCAGGAAGAGAGACTGCAGAATTGAATTAGAATTTAATCAGCTTCATTTCCCTGGAGATCATCCAAAACAGCGAGGCTTGCAATAAGACAAAATTTCAAACTTCCTATCAATGGTAATTATAGTAGCACCATCAATGCTTGGCTAGCAAAGCAGCTGGTCACAGCATTAGCAAGGATAAGAGAACCTCAGCTCAGATGTTATTCTGGAAGACCACAACTTTGGCGGTTCATAAGCTCACACACCATAGCATTCTCCTAGGTCTTTGTTTCCAAAAACATATATGGCTTTTATTCTCATTATTAAAAGCCTTTCACTGCATTTACAAACACAGGCCATTTTACTTAGCAATCTACCCAAAACTTTTGTTTAAATGCACCAGCAACCGGTACCAAGAGATGATGAGTACAAGAATAGTTTATTCTAGCTTTGATGTTTTTAAAATATTACGATCAACTACCTGTCTTACTTGTCCCTTTCACCCTCCTGCCTTCAGAGTCTGAGGGTTCTATTTCTAAGAAAGTAACAGTTTCTTCTTTTAGAAGGAGGATAAAAGCACTCACAGAAAAGATCAATTATTTTTACCCTCTTYCTGCAAGACTATTACAGATGAAATAAAATTTGAAACCATCCCACAAAAATAATTGAGGAAATGCAAATGTTCTTCTATGTGAAGAACCCTTATTTCTGTATTTTTAGTTAGGATTAAAAATTATACACAGGGATGCACATAGCATTATTACCTAGAGATTCTCCCAGATGAAATTTAGGAGTCTTTCACTGTAACTATTTTACTAATTTACAAGACAACCGTTCTACTTTTTTCAGGATTCATTTCATTTATGTTTCTTCACCTACTATCTACTTAGTGACAACAGGAACTTGGTCATTGTAATAGAGATTCCATTTGCAAACATTCCCCGTTTTCCTCCAGATTTCCAACAATACAAACACAATGCCTTAGGAAAAAAAAAAAAAAAAGCCCCTTGAATTTGCACACAGCTCTCAGGTGACTAGTATTTTTTACTTACCAGAATGCAAAAAATAATTCCCCCATTGCTCACATTGGTGATATGCCTCACACTGTGCAATTTCATTTTCATGGTGAGGAAATGCAAGATCTATTCCACCAGTATGGATGTCCAGATGCTCTCCAAACACTGCACTGTAACAATATTTATATATAATATTTATAATATATATAAACATAATATTTATATATAATAGCAGAACACTACAGACTTTCTTTTTTCTTGGCAAGAGAAATGTACAAAAGAATAAAACAGAACATCATAAATACAAATATGTAATTACTGCAGTATCAAAACAAGACTTTAAACAGCTCTCAGACAAGAAAATGGCAGCAAAGCCTCCCTACAAGTCCATATCTGCCTACAATTAATTTTTTTTTTTAAACTAGGAACAATTATTTTTCTAACTTAAATTCAAAGACTGCAAGCAGGACATTTCCTTTCTTGGGTCACTGAATCAGTATCAGACAGTGGCCTTCATCTGCAGACCAAGCAGCTTCRAAGTGACACACATTTCTTTAAACTTGATATCATTACTCTTCCTCTTGTACTATTTCTGAAAGAATTCAGGCAATGCTCTACATAGAGGAGAAAATGCTTAGTCCTACACTGTTATAATAGCAAAAGAAAGTGTCTCATTCGTAGCTCATGCTAATGAGACTGAAGAATCAAGGCTACTGAAGTTCTAAGAGCATAAATCCACAAATGGAAGGAGAAACCAGATTGCCACATGCAGCTGAATTTCCACGAGTGATCTGTTGATAATATAAACGTCAAATTCAGGAGCCCCTGAGCTATACATGTGTGGGGGTAGGAAAGGACAAGAAAATCTGACTCCCTTGCCTGTGACATCCCAAACTCACTCCTCTCGTGCCGGGAACGCTGCTCCATCTGTGCAGGTTGGCCCAGTATTCACCTTTAACCAGCAGCATTTATAGGGAGACMTGGGTTGTGTAAGGGGTTCATGTGGTAACATGAGAGATCAGAGGATCCTGGTTAAAGCACAGGAGCTGTGTACCATCCACCACCCCACTGAGTCTCTACTGCCTCACTTGGGACAAGTTAATTACTTGGTTTTGYCCTTCTGTTAAACAAAGACAATATTTACATTCTCACAAGACAGCAAATGCCAAGTGCTGTGCCCAGTATCTGCAGACACTGGAGCTGGAAAAGAAAAACTGTCTATGTAAGTAGAAAATAAAACACAAGATGCACACATGTGTGCACACAAGACATACAGTATCTTTCCAAGTGTCATATCAACTTGTCGTTCCTCTTTTTTGTGGTACCTGGCTGGAGAGAATCACAGTATCACAGAATATTCAAGGTTGGAAGGGACCTCTAGAGATCATCCAGTCCAACCTTCCCACTCAAGCAGGCACACCTAGAGCATGTGGCATCCAGGCGGGTTTGGAGATCTCCAGAGAAGGAGACTCCACAACCTCCCTGGGCAGCCTGTTCCACTGCTCTGTCACCCTCACAGGAAAGAAGTTCCTCCTCGCCTGGAGATGGAACTTCCTGTGTTTCAGCTTATGCCCATTTCCCCTTTTCCTATCGCTGGCCACCAATGAAAACAGCTTGYCCCCTTCTTCCCTGCATTCTCCCTTCCTGAACTTATATATGTTAATCATATCCCCTCTCAGCCTTCTCTTCTCCAGAGAAAAYAGGCCCAGTTCACTCAGTCTCTCCTCATACGAGAGATATTCCATTCCCTTAATCATCTTAGTTGCTCAACAGAAGCCCTTTTTGTTGCCTGGCTGATGGTCACTTTCCAAGCTYATGCCCACCTGCTTCGTTCCATGGGCTCCAAAGCCAGACTCAGCCTGGCTCTTCACAAGAGCAACTCCCTCCTCCTGACTTCCCTGCCATCTATAGAGGAGCAGATCCCTTCCTCCTGGCAGATCCCTCTGCCCACACATCTCAAATATACTCTAAAATTAATTCACCTAAATGACTTCAGAGTTTGAGATCTTTAGTAAAACAGACAGGCAAGTTGTTATTGTTTAAAGGGAGTACTTGATGGCTGACTGTGACAGTAAAGCATTTTAGATGACTTAGAAAATTAAGTTTTCCTTTCTATACAGCCTAAGATTACTACATTTATGCTCTCATAGGTCATGAATCAAGTCCTACCTGCATGACAGGAACCTCCTTCAGTCACACTAAAATGAATTTTTACAGAAATACAGAATATATGCAGTATCACATTAGCAGATGGACCATTTCTTCGTGGGTTGTCATTTCTTTCCTAATGTACATGTCTGTCTCAGGTCACACTTCAARCAGCATGCTTTTATGCACTTCACTTGCTTTAACTGCTCTTTCACAGTTCCAGAACAATTTGGTGACAAAAAAATCAACTTTACAAATGCTTTTCAAAATTACGAACTAATGACTAACAACCCCAGGATAACACATGAAAGAGAAACCTAAAGCAATAGTTCCACTTACTCAGCCCGGGCTCAACTCTCAAGATAAGAAAGGATCAGACCTCAGCAATTTGTTATTAACTTCACTAAAGGTCTGGGACTAATGCAAAAAACAAAGTACCACTAYGGATCTTCCAGGACAGAGGAGCTAAATTATCCTTTTCCAAAATACATAAATGCATAAGGCCACTGCAGAGAGAGTAAAGTATTATAATCCTGCAGAGAAAATAAAACAGTACTCCAAATTAAAAGTGAATTAATTTAAACCAGCTATGAGCAAAATGCTACTAGGCACAATTCATACTGTGCCCACGCAATACTCTCATTTCTTGGTGGCACAGTGTATCTAATACTACGGATGRAAAACTAAGTAATGTTTTGATCACTAGCACATATACCCACATAAAGGCTGTCGTGATAAGGACAACCAAATCTCACAGACTCTCTGGAGTTCAGGTGGGAGCCAACACCTTATCCTTCTAATGCAGCACTGAATCCTTGACAACTTGTGCTAGAGACTGAACCAGAGGGGAAGGACGCAGATGAAAGAAGTGCTATAGCATCTGCTAAAACGGATTACTCAGCTCAAGCCAAAAGATGGGATCTTGCATGGAAGACTAAGTGTCCGTGTCTTTCTTAAAAGAAAGAAATTACTAAAATGCAAAAAGACAGCTGCTCTGTTAAGGTAGAGCTCAGCTGGTTTGAGTCGCATGTGACACCCAGCATTGCAGAAAGAATTCGGATTAAAACTGATGCTTTCTACTGACTAGGCAAAATACTTCCAGCCTTGCTGCTACTGTTCACAGCATAAATCAAAAATCAGCACTGGATTTAAACCCCAAGACATCTGACCTTGCTATGGTGGAGCACTCAATGTGCCATCCAGGTCTTCCTCTTCCCCAGGGAGAGGTCCAAAACAGCTCCTGAGGCTTGGCAGCCTTCCACAGGGCAAAATCTTTACTGTGCCGTTTATCAGAATCAGCTGCCAAGAACAAGTGATTTGTTATTGGGGCACGTCTCAGAAAGAACAGACAAATGAAAGCAAAAGGAAATGCACAAGTAGATTTATCCTCATTTGCCCAGCTTCTTTTTCCTGTATCTTTCATCCCTTCCCCCTAACACRAGGCTTCCAGTTTGCTGAACAAATCTTGGAGTTCAAAATTTTTAATTTTCAAATACTTCAAAAATTAAAAAAAAAAAAAAACTTTGAATTAGGCTGCTGCAGGCTAAAAAAAAAAAAAAAAAAGGAGGTCGAGATTCTTTATTACATCTTATCCTTTGAGTCTCTTTGGTCTTTACTCATTTTACATCTTTCATTCAGTTACTTATCAGTCAGATTAACACCACAAACAGGTTGATCTACAGTGAGAGGGAAAAGAAAGAAAACAAATATTTTCTTTTTCCTCTGGGTCACAAATCATTTCTCATTTTAATTCTGTGAAACCAAAGGCAATGCAGAGAACACCAGAATTATTCCCAGGTAATAAGACGTTCCGGTATCATTTTCACCAAAATTTTAGATGAAGACAGTGCTCTCCTCCCTGCTCATACTTGGTGCTTCCCTGGCCCCAGATGACACCAGCCCGTTTTGCCACAGCGCTGCAGAGAGCAGAGCCACGTCAGCGCCATCAAGGAACCCCAGAACAGGCTCTCTGCTCTCCATGATTTTGTTTAACATGATTAACATGTATAAGTTCATGAAAGGAGAGAATGTAGGGAGGAAGGGGCCAAGCTCTTCTCAGTGGTGGCCAGTGACAGGACAAGAGGAAACGGGTGTAAGCTGAAACACAGGCAGCTCCATCTCCACGAGAGGAAGAACTTCTTTCCTGTGAGGGTGGCAGAGCCCTGGCACAGGCTGCCCAGGGAGGCTGTGGAGTCTCCTTCTCTGGAGGTCTTCCCAACCCGCCTGGATGCCGCCCTGTGCCCCGTGCTCTGGGTGTCCCTGCTGGAGCAGGGGGGTTGGACTGGATGATCTCCAGAGGTCCCTTCCAACCTTGAACATCCTGTCATTCTGTGATTGTTTGTCAACACGTGCCCTTGCCTTGGACACAACAAGGTACCTATTTGAAGGAATCCAGCACAGCAGCGACTCACACTGCTCCAAGGTCCCTGTTCTTAATTATTTAACACTGCTCATCTGTTCAATGCACAGTGATGTTAGACTTACTTCGATTTTTAACACATCACAAATGAAAATACTTCATGTTACTGGGTCTAAGCCAATTCCTGTAGAATTCCTGTAGAATCATTTTAATGATGAATGGTGATAAATCATTTTAATGATGATTCTCCACTAACAGGTTTGGGGGATTTTTCTTTTTTTTAAGCTGGTAGATGGTCATTTTTCTTGATCCACTCAGCTTGTACTTTATTGATATAGAGTCAATTTCTATTCAGAATGTCACTCAATATTAAATGAGGCACCTTACCAAAAAAAATCTATTACACCTTCATCAGTCAAATTTGACAAAAACTAGGATGATATTCCTGCCTCTAAGTTGTATGAACTGAATYTTCACCTTGACAGTCTGACTAGAATGTGCTGACTCCATCCCATCCTTGCCCTTTCTGAGTATTATTTAAAAATATAAGAAGATAAAAGCTTTTTGTTGGTGGTGGTGTTTTGTTTTTTTGTTTGTTTGTTTTTTGGTTACAGACTGAACAGCCACAAAATCCCTAGAAAGGACTGTACCTTGGGAGGTCATTAACCCACTCCCATCACTGCCATTCTCCCACTCAAAGCAGGGTTACCTAGAGAAGGCTGCTCAGGACCTTGACCTGTTGAGTATCTTCCCTCTCCTCCCCCCATTTTAAATGGAATTTCTCATATTTCAATGTGTTGCCTCTTGTCCTGTCACTAGGCACGACTGAAGAGCCGGACTCAGTCTGGGCTCCTCCCCAACTCTCTCTCCTCAAAGCGGAACAACCTCCGCTCCCTCAGCTTTTTCCCCTTGTACCAGGGATGTCCCAAGCCCTCAGCTGTCGCTGAGGCCCTTTGCTGGGCACAATCCACCATGGCCATCGCCCTCATGGACAGGGAAGCCTGGAAGGGGCCGCAGTGCTCCCGGTGCGTCGCCCTCGGCCTCCTGCCCGCGCTCCTCCTCCCGCGGCCAGGGGCGTTCGGCCGCCCTTGCTGTGAGGGCACATGGGGCCTCAGGGCAGCTCGGGGTCCTCCCAGACACCGCCATCCTGCCCCACAGCGCTGCTGCCCAGGGGGCTGCTGCAGGGGGTCAAGAGGGCTGCTGCAGGGGCCATTCACCCACAGTTTTGTCGCAGCAGCGGCACCTTCTCATGGCTGAGCAGGAGGGCTACTCCCCTTTATCCAGGATCCTTTCCCAGTATCACTGCTCTTTCACGCGGCCTGGAGGAACCACCAGGCACCCAGGGGAGCTAACAAAGCCCTAAACACAGCGCTGGTTTGTCTGGGGCAGCAGCTGCCTTCACAGCTTCTCCTCTCCTGGATGACTCTGTTTTTGACACCACAGGCTGCAGCTGCCACTCTCTGCTTGGGTGCATCTAGAGTGGAAACATCCTGGATGCACAAAGAGACTGACCTATAAGCACCTGCTTTCAATTTCTGGATGCAAGGATGAAAAATATCCCATTTTGATGTTCTGTTTGAATGACAGTAGTCATTTGCAAAGAGACAGGGGCAAAAATGACATGCTCCAGTAGTTATTCCATAGCCTTTATTAACAAAGGTTAAGAGGGAAAAAAAAAAAAAAAAAAGCATAAGAGCTTAAAACAACTTCTGTGCTTACCCAACAAGACACACCACAGTAAATCCCAGCACATCTCTAGCTACACTGAGTCAGGGATCACTTTGYTACTCTAAGCCCAGGGCGCACTGGGAGGGCAGTTACAGCCTCKCCACACACCTCTGAAGAACTGTCAGCAAAAGCACCTACCCTCTGCAAGTGCCAACGTTGAAGCTACTCCAGAACAGAGCTGGGAAATTTTTGTCTGCAATTCCTGAGCATCAGCCCTTCAAGTTCACTCAGCAATTCCAAGCAGACTTTTCACTGAAGAAGTGCTGAGCTTCAGTGTACAAAGGACGCAGACCTGCAGCCAGCCCTCCTGCGGGAGGAGCTCRTCACACACAACTCAAGGAGACTGCAGAAAGCTTCAGCAAAGCTGCTCAGCAACAGCACTATTGCAGCAGACAGGACAGAGCCAGGACTACAGGCCTGCCTTACCACAGCCTACCGAGAGCCCTAACACCCCCCGACACCATCTGCTCAGCAGCAATTTCGTAATGAAAGGGGCAAACTCGTCTCGTTGRTACATCAGAAGGGTGCAACTGTCCAAATAGTAGCACAATAAGACAGTGTTTCTCGTGTCTGCTCTCGCCTGCCCCATCACTGGCTGGCGCAGAGGCTGGGGAGCCAACCTCCCTGCTAGACATGTGTGCACCACTCCGAYATTTAGTTAAGAACTAGAATTGTTCTCAAGCACCTGACCAAAGAGATTGAAATTTCTCTTATAGCGTCAGCAGTAAGATTTCAAATAATAAAAACACATTTTAGAACAGTGGGGTCTTAATTGACCAAAAAGCTGACTACATACAGCGGGTTGGATTTTTTTTTCCAAACTGTTCTATGAAGCTTTACACATAAATAAAGAGTTCAAAGTACTGACACAAATCATTGACATCAACTTACCTGATTCATCTTCTGCACCAGGATGAATAGTAGTTAACACTCCGTATCTCTTTCCCCAAGACTTAACATCAAAATAAACATTGCCTAATAGAAAATAAATGTTTAGTTTTATATCAAAGACGGGGTACATTCACTCTGCTGCTCTGCTGATATGATGAAGAGATAACACTTCCCTGAAAGCAAACCAAAACAAAGTGCCATTGAACTTTCATTTGAGATTCTGAACTAGAAATTCAGAATTACTGCACCAAKAGCAGCACACGTTCCCATGTTTTCTGCTCTCCAATAACTTCATAACATTGCAGTCCCATGTGCTCATTCTTCCAGGAAAAGATGCACCTTTTCCTGGAGATCCTGGACCTGAGATTCCCATCCATACACAACCAGCAATCCCCTCCACAGCTGAAGAGCAGTCTATTGCTAATCCAGTTATAGAGCAATCGAGTCCTCCTGCAGCCCCCAGCTCTGCTCAAGAGCTTGCACGTGTCACTGTTTGCAGACAGGAGCTATGCAACCCACAGGAGATGCCCATCCCCTGTTTGGGGTCAACAGGTTTCCCCAGCTCTCCCACAGCACCCAAGCCAGGACTTCCCCATGGGATTTTATGTGGCCGTTTAATTACAGTAAACAACTATGCTGGTGACGAGTTACATTTAACGTGGCAATTGGGCAACAGCTGTTCTGGGCAGTGCCAGCTGTGTGGATGAGTCGCTCACACCCTGCCTGTTAATCCACAGCGGGAAAAGCTGGAGCAGGCACCTCCTGCCATCACAAGGCAGGGCTGCTAAGAGCACTGACACCCTGCCCAGGTGCTAACACGGGCTGCCCTGACACACGTCTTACCTTCCAYGGTGGCGTAAGCTTGTCCATGAGCAATTATTCTCTCTATAAAGGAAATTATCTGAGGAATGTTTTCAGTCACTCGCATATATACTGTAGGAGGAAGGACCTTGGGCAAAGAAACCATAACAGCTTATTAGCCTGTGTGTGAAATACACTGCTGCTAAGCCACTTGGTTCTCRCGAGATTTGACAATTCTTATTTTTTTCTGCTCAATTTCACCTTTCAAAAAAAGGCTGCAAATAGAATAAGTCATAGATAACATTTATAATATAGGTAATAAAATAAAGTTTGAAGAGCAGAAAAAATACACGCACACACAAGTATCCACTCAAGCTTTCCACCAGTTTCTGACAGTACTCTGAACTAGAAGTCATGTGAAGTCAGTGTTTTATGTTTTACATGCTGAACACCATATATGTTTTAGTAAATATATATTATCATCGAACCACAGCTCAGCTGCATAAGGCAAAAAAAAAATTTTTTAAAGTCTTATATGAAACACATTCAACTCCTGCAACAATSGGGGTTTGATTTCTTTTTCCTCTCCCCTTACTCAAAGCCATTTTCCCCCCAAAAGAGTGAAAAGGAGTAAATCAATATTCAGAATCTTAACAATATTTCACCACRCAGTCAATCAATTTATTTCTTCAGATCAAACTGTCCAAGTCAAATCCCTGATCCCTTATCAAAATAAAAGCGTTAAACTACTCTCAAATTTAGAAGTTGAATTATCCATACCTTCAAGGCAGCCATATCTTGTTTAAAGTCTTCTTCATAAATACGAGCAAGAGCTATTGGTGATATATTCATCTGAGGGGGAGGGGAAAAAAAGAAAAAAAAGAGGGGCAGATTAATAAATTGCAAATCAAAGTAATAATATAAAACATTGCAATCATTTAATCAGTCAGTTAATAACTAATTGGAAGTCTTACAGAGAGTCACAGTGACGAGCCAGAAAGTTTAATCTAACATTCCAGGTGGCATTTACACTTGAGAGTTACCAAAATTCAGTATCCATCTTTTAAAGAGAAAGCAACTAAAGACTGAAGCAACAAACTCCTTCCCTTCCCCTCGTGCTCCTCGAGGGAGAGGCTCCCACCAGTGCCCAGCTGCCCCACAGGGCAGGSAGCGAGATTCACTCCACCTCCTGGCAGGGGACCCTGACCCAGCCTGCAGGTCAGAAAGACATCTAAGGCACTTCAGAAAGTCAGTGTTATTCCCATACATCAATACAACCAGAGACAATTAACTGAAAAGCAGTTTCATGTTTTGCCAAGTACAGCCGTTCTCACCTACCTTTTCCCACACTCCGGTACCTGAATTGTTTACAAGATGAATYCAGTTTCACCATTCAGGACGGGGGCACAGCCAGGCAGGCTGCTTTTCAGACTGCASGTGCCCACCACAACCCGGGCAGGCTACTGGGGCAGCAGCCAAGAGCTCTGGCCACGACGAACCAGACGCTCATGCTGCAAAAGGCAGATGCTCAAAACGGAGCCTCCGAGACCTGCTGCTGCCTGCACAACACCGTGTTCTTCCAGCACCAGCACCAAGGTCATTTTCATCACCCATTTAAGCTGCTGCTTTGAGCAAGGGGAAGAGAAAGGAACTTAGGGGAAGACAGGGAGATTTCTCCCATCCTTAGATATTCAGAATGTGAGCAGAGTCATCTCTACAAAGGGGACATCGCATGATCACCCCAGACAAGATGCCCCACTTTTGGACTCTATATAGACAAGACCCGAAGGATGGGGAATAACAAAGGGAGTTGGGAGTCCAGCTGGGAGCTGCTCATAAATGTAAAACTCAGTGAACTGTCAGGCTGTTAACCTCATTAGAAGGCTTGAGTCTATCCTTTTAGTAAACTTTACCATTTTTGCAAATTAATCCAACCCCATCAAGGGCCCACTCTTGGCAGGTCTGACCCATACACCCAACATCAGCTTCCAAGCAAGCCATGGGCTCAGGCAGGATGGAACAAACTTCTCCAGGTGCTGGTGCTGCCCCAGTGGCTCCCCCACGCACGCTGCTCCGCGCGCTGCTCCGCATGCCCCAACGCCTCGCGACAGCAGCAGCTCTTTGAGACCAATGCTGAAAGAGCAGYCACGACGACAAAACTTCCTCAGAGAAAAGCCCGAAACAGCCCGGTATCCGGCACGTCTTGGATTGCTCTTGGAACGCTGTCCAGCCCTGCTGAAGGTTCCCAGCATTGGCCTTCCAGAGACACCACGAGGGTGCAGGGACAGCCGCATGGAGCCAGTGTCCCTCTGCACAGCCAGCTGTGCCAGACCCCCAGGGCCAAAACTGACTGGAACTGTCAGAATTTAACCCTAATTCACACAGGGAACAGCTTAGGTCTCTTCTGTTACACAGTACTACACAAATAGCTGTAGAAAACACCACAAGCTTGGGCGAGGGATTGGAACCAATACCCACCTCATTGGCCCTTTTAATTATTTTGTCGTCTATGTCCGTAATCCCCATCACCATGATGACATCAGTTTCAAAAAATCTGGTCATTATTCTTCGAATGATATCGAACCTAACGTAGGAACTRGAAAAGAAGAAAAAAAGGAGCTTTTAGACATGCATCTTTGAGAATAAATTTAAATAACAGTAACCAACACCACTAACACCCACAGAGATATGTTAAATGAGCCAATTTTTGGAATACCAAGGGCTTGAGTAGATAAAGCACTCTGCCAAAACTAGTTACAAGCTGCACAAACAGTCAGGCCCATTTCAGTTGAACTGGTCTACCCTCTTCTGGCATTAGCAACACATTACATCGCATTTTCTCATTTTCCTTCTGTTGCRTCTCTTCAGCAAAACTTCAACAAGAACTTGAAGATATGTGGGTGTACCAAAGCACCCAGACACCCTGTTACAAACTCTGGAAGGAGAAGCACGCCAGTGAAAGGTGGTTTATTTACAGACATAAGGAATCCGGGAAGGGGTGACATTTCAGTTCTTAAATTCTTACTAGGGATATCAAGCTCATCTCCATTATTCACGGATTGAGACCTTCTACATTGGTTGTGTTTGTCATGATTCAAATTAATAAAAGAGGCGAAGAAAAAAACAGAAAGTTCAGTGATAAGGAGGTATTCTGTTCCCAAGAAAACAAACTTGCAAGAGAGACAACGGGGCTGCCACTGGCACCCTACTCACTCCCTGCACGGGACTGCCGGCTCCTTCCCGGCGCAGGGATCTTCCCAGCAGGCTGGCCCGCGCCCGGAGCGCCCGTTCCAGCCACAGGGCCCAGCTGCCGCCGAGGGCTCCATCCAAGCGCTCCGAGGGCTGGAGGTCCGGCCAGGCCCCAGAGAGAAGCGGAGCGGCGGRAACCGGAGAGAAGCGGTCACACATGCACAGGAAAGGGGCTGTTCCTGCCCCACACACCGCGGGATTTAGCCGCTTGGATAAAGATCCCCTCCTTGCTTTGGTGCAGGCGTATCGCTACACCACAGCGGGAAAGAAAACGGTATGGGGAGTCCCCGGAGAAGGAGCAGAGATGATAACACAGCTGCTTATCTGCATGGCACGCTGCTGTGACGGCAACGTCCAGCCCTACCTATTCTCACTCGGAGCAGCACGCGAGGAGGACGGGAACAGGCACCACAGGAGGAGGCCTCCAGGCCGGGAAAGCCCASAACTGCTAATGCAGACACGGAATCAAAAGCAAGGGATAAAAGAACAGGCCGAGGTAGGTCTTTTAATTAAGAGAATCTGAACATGGGAAAGCAGGAAGAACCGCCAACAAAAGCCTATTCAAGGGACAAAAAGCAAGGCCAGAAGGCAGAAATCTCACGCTTAGAGAAATCACATTCTAGGTCCACTACACCATCTARTATCTGTTATGGCAAACAGGAAAATGAGCAGACACGTAAAGGTCACACAAGCTACTGCACGGCTTGTGCTGCTGCCCAGGCCTCTCCTGCTGGAGCACAAAGTCAGAGCAATGAGACCTTATGTTGAAAGAGCATCACGCACACAGAGCAGAGATACTGAGAGAGGAAAATAGGAGTAAGGAAAAAAAGAATCAAGAGAAATAATAGCTGTAGTATCAACATTTAGTGTGATTCACCGTGCTGAAACGATGTAAAACAGCAATATGAAAAGGGTACTGGAGAGCAGCTTCCCCTGGTCCGTAACTACTGATTCATGCCCAACAAAACCACGGCAGAACAGCGATGAACACAGGGGAGCAGCCAGGTTCTGCAGCAGGAGCATCCTTCACCCGCTCCCTCCCATTTCGCCCCTTCTCGCGTTGAACGCTGCTGTTTAGGGGGCACTCTCGGGCAGCGCCTTCCTCCACATTTGCTCCCAGGATCAAAACCACAAGACGGGGAAATTCGAAGGGTTTTAGAGCACAGAGGAGCCATCTCCTGGGGATGGAAGTGCTTCCACAGTTCTCCCTGTTACGCCAAGAGGTAACGGGAGGACAAGGTCTGTGGTTTTAGGAGAACGTAAACCAAGTAATAGAGGCAGGAACTCGGTTGCCTTTATATAATTGCTCCCTAGCTGTGATTTTGAAGTGCAGTTATTTCAAGATGAACGGTAACACTGGATATAAATACTCCAGGGCTCTAGATAAGCCCGCTTGAGCGGCACCATCGGACTAGACCATCTCCAGGAGGCCCTTCCAAACTCTCCCATTCYGGGAAACACACACATTGCTAAGGAACGGAGGGGGTTGGTATCACAGCTCCCCTGTGCAAAGTACAAATGAAATAATCAAAGATGTTTCCAAGATGTGATTTTCTTGGTTCTTAGATCACTCGTATAAAGCCAGGATAAGTTTTCTGGTAAGTCCAGACAAAGGCAAGGAGGACAACAACAACAGTACCRCGCACTTAAGGCCAGGCTGTCAACTGCATTTCCATACGGTTCCTGTGACTCCCTGGCAGCCTGCGAGACAGGCGGCGAGYGCGGCTGTGTCACCGCGAGCTCCGGCAGCCGCTCGCACAGCCGCGCGGCTCCGCGTGTCCCCGCGCCAGGCGGCTCCGAACAACCGGCAGCCGCGGGGTGTTCGCAAGGTCACTTGCGACGCAGGAGGCTGGTCAGGGCAGTTGTTGCACTGACCTAGCGGACATGTGTACCTGGCRAGAGTTACTGAGCTGTTACTACCTCAGAATTTTAAGGCAGGTGAACTTTCAAAAAATTCCTGATTTTTAACCTTGAGAACACCTTTTTAACAGTAAAACGACCCCAGGCTGCTTTCCCTTGGTGCTGACACAGTGTCCAAACTAAAGGCAAGGGAAGAGACGCGCGCTTTACACTCTGAGGTGGCACTGAACGAAGTGCTGCGTGCACAGCTCACCCATCCTCACAAATAGCTGCCACCTTAAACAGTTTGCTCTGGCTTGTTTTGCCTCTTCCTGGGATGGATAGTACCTTCCTCGGGTATATTGAGGTCGAGAAAAATACAATAAAAAAATAAAAGAAATGAAAGAAATAAAAAAT